AACTTTCGTTTTTAAAAATGTAAAATTGTTCAATTTCATTGCATATCTCCTCGATTATCAAATATTCAGTTTTTAAACAATATTTCGATTGATTTGCCATTAACAAAAAAAAAAAATTGGAATTATTTAAAAAAAAAAAAATGAATGATGCCGGGATTGAACCCGGGCCGCCGGCGTACCAGTCGAGCACGTTACCACTAGGACAACGCGCTTATTTAAATTTATAAATTCATTAGTGGTATATATTCAACATATTGAATAATTTTTTTCATTGAAATTCCACAAGATTTGGTTTCCCTCTTCCGCACGCTCTACAGTCGGCTTAATTTTAGTTAAACAAATAAAAAACAAAAAGCATTCACACCGCAGAAGATAAAATTCACCCCGTCGACTTGATGGACACTCCAGCATTGCAATAAAAACTTGGATAATAAAAAAAAAACACCCCAGCATTGCGTGTGGAACCCTCCCTCTCTTGGGGTGCAGTACTACGATGCCGCTGAGGTCACTCAAACCCCCAGAACTGAGCCTCTACTTCAGTCAATCCTCTTTGGAATACCTTTTCGATTTCCAAAAATTTCCCTCGAAATAATTATCAATAGCTCGTGCGAATGGTGTATTACGAAAATTGAACGTTGATTCATTTTTAAACATTTTATTGACTGCACAGCCTCAAAATCTGACGTACAGCATGTTGTAAATCATTAACTGCGTCATCCACCGGTTAGAATGCAAATATGAGACCGTTTTTTATTAAAATAAAAAAATAATGCCTATGAAACTTAATCACTGAAAAAATCAAAGACGAATGTTCTTTCTAATAGCACACAGATAAAATCAATCAATAAATTGTACCAACACATTTTACTAAAACCTAGTGATTCAATCCTAAAAATAGATAATAAAATTCTTTGAAATTGCATCGACTACATTCCAATAATATTTTTTGTTATCAAGAGTCCATATGATACACAGCAAATCTCTTGTTTTCATTGAACTTGTTGGACCGATTTGAAAAAGGCTGAAATAATAATAAGGGATGAAAATAATTCGATGAAATCGGGTAGATCAGTCCAATAAAAACAAGGGACAAAGCATATTAATTCAAACTACCAACTACTTAATTATAGTCATCTCCCTTTTCCATAATCTATTATCGTTATGATTTTTTCATGGTAATTAAATAAATGTCCAGACATACCAATTGCAATTTTTTTCTCCTTCGAGTCATTCGATATCTTTTCGATATATCCCGTAAGTCTTCATGATATATGTTTCGATTCGACGTTTCAATTACTTTCAATGTAATATGCATTACTTGACTGATGCACTCAATTTATAACTGTTCAGTTAATCGAAGTAAATAATTGATTTTTTATTAACTCAGGCAAATCCAATAGTTGCCAAGGAATTTATCTTTGAATCCCTTAGAAGAGAAAGAATTTCTTATGACCATTTTTGTAGGATGAAATGTCGTTGCATAATTACTCATCACTTCTCCCTGATACATATATACGTTAATGAATAAATAAATTGTCATGATTAATATCTTTAAAATTCATTGTTAATTTTTATCGGTCCTAGAAGAATAACTCAAACAATTACACTAGATGCAAATGAAATTTAAGGTACCTCGATTCGTGTTTAAATAGATAAAGTAATGACATATCTCCCCAATTTTGTTTTACCATCAATTACATATTTACAATCACCTCATAGACGGTGTGAACCATCTACTCAATACCAATTTATCACTTCGTTCTTATCGTAGCGACGAAAAAAAAATTTAATTGGCAAAGAAGACGTGATAGATTAAATAAATAACCCTCAATGACAGAATTTTATCATTACACCTATCCCTGTTACACAACACAATGCTGAATAAAGATTTTCATCTTGCCTGTCTGGTCAGGATTAACGTTTACCTTTATAGAATATACGTTTATATCATCAAATTTCCAAGCATCAGAGCTTTTGAATTTTCATACAGATTGTCGCGGATTGCCCGAGACAAAGTCATCAATGAAGATATGAGGCCACACGACAACTCAACAAATATTAATCTCTTCCTCGATCCACCCAAATACTGAAATTATCCATCCTTATTTCATTTTTTCTTTATAAAAATGATCATTTTATGATCGCGATGGCCATCATTATTCGTCAAAAGGATGTAATGTTAATTAGTTTGCCCAGTGTTTACCATTCATCAGCGATTACGTGGAGGAGCCTGAGGAATTTGGGAGTTTGGGACTTGATTGATTGAGACATGGGGTTACTCTCGCAATTTGTGCCAATCGGCGATCTGTCGTCGTGGTGAACTGCACACCTCGTTCCAGTGAGTGAGTGCTGAACCCTGACACTTAGTCCCTCCTAACTCAAGTCGTCCAATCACCTGTAAATTTCATTAGCAAATGAGAGATGGTCTCATCTTTTTTTCAAGTCTGCAAAAGCTTGAAATCATTAAATTCGCAGTTACCTCATTCTTGGTGACGCGATCCCAGTCTAACAGCATAAATTCAAGACTGACATTCGCCAATCCATCTGTACCATTTGGTATCTCGAAAACGAATGACTCATTGAACACTGGACTTAGTGTTCGTTTTTTAATATGAGTCTTTTTCTTAGCGATACGTTGTGAGTTGTAAAGTAGATAAATCTTGACGTAAGGATCAGCAAGCCCAGTTACATCCATTTTCGGCAAGTTTCTGGCTTTGAGAACGACAACAGTAAGACGATTTACTGCTGGCTGCCAGCAGAGAGAGACGAGGAGCTCTCCTCTGCCCTGTGATTGAATCTGAAATAAACGTTATTTGCTTGATTAAAGGGATTGGAAATAAATAATGAGATATTTTACCTTCAGAATACGGGGACAGATTTCTCGGCAGAGAGCCAACTGTTGATTATCCGTGTCTTCAAGACCTTGAACTGACGAAAGAGCGCAAACGACCTCTCCGATCATATCATCTCGAGAATATCTGTCAAAACTCATCACAACGAAGTGGAGTGTGATTTTCTATAAATAAATATTGATTTTACCTTTTAGCCATTTCCATACAAATCGATTCACCAGAAATTATTCATTGTAGGACTCATTGTTATTCGGGTGGGTACCGAACTAGTCAGATCAATGTCATCTCAAACGCAACCAAAGAATAGAAGAATTATATTCATGTGAGTGTATATTTTCATCAAGAGTGCGTTTCTCACCTGTAGTTGAGTCTTGGAAATTCCGAAGAAAGTGAAATCTTCATCATAAACTGGATCACGAGTATTCCTAAGAACTCTCGTCTTCACCCTGTCCTGCTTATCAGGCAGTAACTGTAGTTTGACATAAGGATCGCTCGTAGAATTCTGCATTCCTCTCTCCGGAAGTCCCTTACATTTGACGACAGTAACAACGAGAGCATTCTGATCGGTCTGGTAACGAAGTTTGAATACCAATTGTCCAAGTCCATCTCTATATCCATTGCCATTAACCAGACCACGTTCAACTTTCTCACTCGACTCCAATTCCGCTTTATCTTTCTCATTTTCAATGCTAATCGTCACGTCGCCCGAGGGTGTCTGCAATGGTGACAATCCCGGTGGAGTTCGAGGATTGGATGATGGATTATTTGAATGCGGTGAGGGCTGAGAACCGGTGGGCGATGGTGTCTGGCCACCTGATCCTGGTGGTGATTTAGCCGGACCCGTAGGACTTGGACTTTTTTTCAAATAATGGGTTGTACTGCCTGGACTCTTTACAGCTGTTGGTTTACGATGGGGTGGTCTAAATGCCAAAGACTTGTCTATACTCAGTTTCATGTGTTCTCGGCGCCGTTGGCAATACCACCAGGTCATCGCGGCGGCGCATGCCAATGCTGCTAGGGCAACACATAGCCCAACGAGGGTGTTCGTTGATACTGATTTGACATAATATAAATATTATCATTAGCAAATTGACGCAATCAATACTGAAGAGAACTCATCGTGCCAATCGACACTCAATATGACTGTTTGCTACGTTTTTTTTTATCGGCATGTCGTGATCATTAATGCGTTGAACAAACAACAATCAATGGGTCTAGTCGTTTGGAATATTTGCAATAGCTTGAAGTGACAAAATTTCTATTTTATACAGTGAAATTCTCGAATTTTCGAGCAGCTGGTAGCAAGGAACGGATGACTCAGCTCACCTGATTCAACGGGGGTAATCAATGGTCCATCCTCCAGCACACCACCGACCATTTTCCAACACTTGCGAGCGTTCTCCAATAGCTTTTTGCTAACCACCCTCAAACAATTTGTCGTCTATTCTATTATTTTATATTGTTTAATACTTTTGACGCTGAGAGAAAAAATCGGGGCGTTATTTACGGCGTACAACCGTTCACCAAGTGTCTTCTACTTTCAACATATAGCAAGTGGTAAAATGGATCAATAAGGAGACACGGAGCTTGCGCGGAGGGATTTTTTATTCTACGGGAATTCCGTGGATTAATGCTCGTTTCCTCGGCCCCCCAACACGCGGAGGTTCGCGATGAGAGAGGGTTGAAGGGAAATGATACGCATGATGAATAGAAAGGAGCACTAGGAGATGAACGGGCAGTCCTGATTGTGAGAGGAAAATTCATTGTCGCCGATTTTTTACTGATACTCATATTCCAATTTATGAGATTCCAGGTCATTATAATTACTCAGGGGAATTATGCAAAACGCATGCCATGGACAATCGGAATTACCAGCTAATCACAAAGTATCGGGTTTTTTGATGAGTCACGAGAACAGGAAATATTTCATTTCTATATTTGTTTTGCTTAATCGATTTGGTGGGTATTGTATTTATAATACAACCCACTTTTTCCATCCAGGTAGTGCATTTTTCATTCCAAATTATTTGATATTCAGGAATATGTTTAATGCATGCTGGGGTGCATCAACAATTTTAATGCACGTCCAGAAATATATATTTGCCTGAATAAAAAAATTCATGGCTGGAAAGATGATGATAATTTTTTCATAATAAAAATCTATAATGGCGGTACTTTTCTCCTAGTAACTCTAGTGTAACGTGATGACAGTCTGGTATCAATGACAGTCGAGCACGACTCGTTACACGTCTAGTAATAATGCATTAATGACTAGAAGCAATACACGCACGCGCAGTAGTACTCATTGCACGGAAAATATGAAACATATATATTCCTTCATACAGAACGAGACGAGATATACATAGAACAGGGAAATGTATGTAGCGAGGCAAAAGTAAAAAAAAAATATGAAAAAAATTGCATACTATGATACTGTTGAGGGTGTGAGGGCATTCGTGAGACGTGAGACAAGCGAGGCATTTTCGTACACTAAGATAGAACCTGGAGAAGGGGAGAGGCAGTAGTCAAGGAAGTTAGTACATAGACACAGCAAACGTGTGACAGTGAATGCACCGCTGTCATGGGTCTTAAAGAATTTCGAATTGTTTTCGATAATCCATGGAATACTTATTATCCAGGCCAAACAGTAACCGGTCGTATTATCGTCGTTGTCGATTCAACGAAAAAAATACGCGGTATGTATTTAATATTGGAATATAATATTTTATTTACATGTATTATTTACAGTTTATGGGACCATAAAATGTTGAAATGTAACTGTGAGTACTTTCAACGTAAAATGTCAGTGTGCATCGTTGAATTATATGATGACACCTTAATTTATGTTTGTACTCAATATTTGTCGATATAATATATTTTTATTTTATTATATTGCAAAATGATGAATTGCCATAAATCCCAAAGTTGTCTGTGTGAAAAGGAGTTTTAAGGATACACCCAATTTTCTGAAAAAAGTGGTTATGATTATTTGACATTTTATTACACCCAAGGTTTCTCTTGAAAACCCAAGTTAGAGCTCGAACGGAGTATAATTATAGCTCACATATAAGTCTGACAACTCCCTCGCAAATTCTTTCCATTTAAACCTAGCTGTCTTTGTATTGTCTGACTTGAAACATTTCTTCGAATATGAAAAAATATTCATGAAAAGACAACTAAATTTTTTGCTGTAGGTATTAATGTGAAGATCAAGGGGGAAGCTAATACATGTTGGGCTACAGACAGGCAAGAGTTGAATCACGAAGGAAGATATGAAAATGAGACGGAAACACTCACTGGTCATGAGGAGTATTTCACTGTGCAATGTTATGTTGCTGGATCAGCTTCTGGTAAAAGACCAATCATCATTTTGTTTGTAAAGCAACATAACAAGAGAGAATAGTCCTACAGAAATATTTTTTTTATTTTCTCCTGTGATTGATCTTGAGATTTTGGTTCTTTCGTTTTCACTTGATTCACTTTTCATGAATTTTTCAAGGTGGTGAAGAAATCAGTCTACCGGTAGGTGAGCATTTCTATCCGTTCGCATTCGCCTTACCCCAGAATCTTCCCAGTAGCTTTGAGCATGACTATGGACACGTCCGTTATACAATAAAGGCTATTCTCGATAGACCATGGAAGTTTGATCAGGAAGCGAAGGCAGCGTTTACTGTCATTTCACACTTTGACCTCAATCGAGAAGCTAGAGCATCGGTAAAATATTTATTGACATCGTGCTTGTTGCGGGATCATTTTTTATATTTTTTTTTTCTGTCATTCAAGTGATGAAAAAATGGTAGATCGGTCAAAGTTGATTGCAGGTTTTCTCAAAATGGACTATAATTTATTGAGAGAATTAATATTATTCAAGGAACCCATCCATCAAGAAATGAGCAAAACATTCTGTTGTCTTTGTTGCGGCTCACCTCCTCTGAAAGTCAACGTCATTCTTCCAGTGAAAGGATATGTCCCTGGCCAATCAATGCCTATTAGAGTCAATGTAGATAATCAATCTGGTATTGTTGTGGAAAGCGTGAAATTAATCCTGCGCAAGGTGACAAATATTTTTTAGATGCAATCGAAGGAAGGCATTCAAAAAAATAACTTTTGATTTTGAATACTTTTCAGATAATTACGTTTAAAGCAAATACTCCGAGAGTTGGTACAAAAATTGATAAAGTAGTTGTAGCAGAGGTGAGTAAAGGCCCTGTAGAAGCTGGTGGCACATCGGATTATGAGCAAAAACTTGACATTCCTCCGCTACCACCATCGAACTTGACAAATTGCAGGATTATTGATCTTGAATATAATTTGAAAATAGAAGCGTGTGTTGAAGGATGGTAATTATGGGAAATATTAATTTTTCAAAATTTTACACCTTCGGTTGTTTGCAAAGAAACATAATGTGATGATTTTTACAGGTACCACAGGAATCTGAAGAGTAATACTCTAGTGTTCATTGGCACGATTCCACTGGCAAATTACCAAGGAGAAATTTTACCCTCAGGTAAGAGAGAACCGGGTGACAATTATGAAGATAAGACTGCAGACCCAACATACGGTGGTTACCCGAGTGGTTATCCCCCATACTCCCCTGGCGATGGCTACCCCACGGCCCCTCCACAACCCCATGATAACAATGACCTACCGGCCCAACCACCTGACTCTAATGTTTATCCCAACTTGCGTGAGTATTCCCTCATTTCTTCCCATGGCCGTATCATCAATTTAGTGTTATCAATTGTTGATTATAATCCAGCTCCACCATCTTACGAAGAATATGGATGGTCCGTGAGGAGCCTCAGAGAGCGTGGCGAGTCTGATCACGTCATGGGCAATCAAGGGCACTTCGCACCGCGTTATCCTGTCTACAATTTCACAAAGACGTGAAGAACTGAAAGTAAACATTTCTGGAAATGTAATAACGGAATTTCTCGCTACAATGGCCTTTGCAGATTTGCAGCATATTTTTTTGAATCTTTCACTACTTCTTGTTCACGCTGTTTTTTTTTGTAATCCATGAATTAAATATGTTTTATATTTCGACATTTATATGTTTATTGAAAGCTGAGCTATTGCTGAAACAATTAAAAAATTTGAGATAAACCCTGAAATTGAAAATAATTCCACAATTAACCGCGGGATGCACCAATATTCAAAGACTCGAAGCCCACGCTGGGAGATGAAATTATTCTTCTGAGAAATGGTGGTCACGTAGAAAAATACTTTTATTTCATAGAAAGTTCATAGAAAGTATCGAGTCACATTAAAAATACAATAAACAGGAATGCAACAATCATCGTAATAATTATCGAGTTCTGATTGTCGATTGATTTAAGTCAATGATTTGTTAGCAATAACAGTAATATGCAAAAATTGAATATTACAACATAAAAAATTCGTTGAGGAGTAACAATTCCAACATAAATAATTTGTCTCTTTTCGAATTCCACATGAATTCATAGTCGGATATTTACTGAAATGGGAAATTAATTTATGCAAGCGGGTCCAAAGTCTAAATGTGCATATCAGACTTTTCATCATTAGCTTTGTCGAATGCGTGAAGAAAATTAAATAACAAGAGAAATGTAAAGAATAATTGATAATATGAGATTGTCGACTTGATCAGTGCGAGCTTCCACAAAGGACACTGCCATTATTGATAATGTGCTTCTGAGGAGAGTAACGTAATTAGGAATTAATCCCAATGCAGCGAATGCATAAACAAATATTAATTGACTGAGTATACATGCAACGGTTCCCTCGACAGATTTATCAGAATCTGCCCATTTAGTTTTGCCCCATTTTGTGCCCACAACACTCGCAACTGAATCACCAATTCCAACTGTCAAAACACCACTGAGAAGCGGTAAAATTTCAAGATTACTTGTTGGCATCCACAATGGGAATGATAATCCACTCAGCAAATACAAGGGTGTCAACGAAACCAAGTGGTCCTTTCCATCTGCAAATGCCAAAAATCCTGATTGAAGTAGAATCCCCAGAGATGATAACTTTAATAGTCTTATCAGCTGGAATGAGAGAAATTTAGTATTAAAGTTGTAGTTTCTGGCAATTGAGGCCAAGGATTAATGATACCCGAAGTTAATTAAATTACCTCCAACATTATAAATAGACCCATTGTGACTCCACTCGCTAAATAGAGTAATGTCGGTTCCCACAGTAAACCAGGAATGTAAACAAGTACAGCCAGAAAATGAAAGCCTTTTCTGTGAATAGTGTCCGCATGTGATCCGGATCGTATCTGATATGATAGAAGACCAGCTCCTAATATTAGACAGACGGCCCAATAAAGTATCATCAATACCTGCCACCCAAACATAATAACAAATAAAAACCATTGTGAAATTCCCAGATTATCAAAAAATGTACCTATATATATAACATATAGCTGTACCAACCTTACTTAAACTTCCAAAAACATAAAAAATCATCCAGACGAGTGGACTTCTGTCCAATAAAATGTGCAGTACTGGAACAACGACGAGAAGCAATAATCCAATTATTGTTATCCAAAAAAAATTCTTCTCCCGAATTTTTGGAAAAAAACCAGGAAGAATACAGCAAACTCCGACGTATATCATTCCCACCTAAATTCACAAGTGGGCTATTGTCTTTATTTTTTCTACACTATAATTTATTTCTAATTCGCTAAACACCATAAAGATAATATTCCACTTGCTTTAACTTTTTACCCTGATTTTGTGGATATCTTCTATTCTTACATTATTCAACCCCTCACCTGAAGAATCGTAGTCGCGATATCATCGTCATGCAGAGGGGGTAAATGATATCTAAGTGGTAAATTAGATGCAGCAGATAACAAAAATAATATAATTCCATGTGTAACAGTGATTGCTTCACCCAGCGTAAAACACCTCGGGAAGTACGACATCAATTGTAAAATCCCCCATGTCCCCAAAGAGCCAGTCCCCAGGCCCCAGAAAACGCTCGTTAGCAGCCCTGCACTTGAATAAATTCACTATAGTCATTGCAACCCATTGACAATTGTCTTTACTTCATCTCAACAACCTCCCAAATAGTAAAGCAAAATCAACATACCTTTATTTGCTCCCAGTAAATACAACATTGATGTAATACTCGCTGGCAAAAAAAAAATTATTTGGAAATCCTTACTCGGTGATTTATCAATAATCAATTGTACAAAAAGGCAGGCTGTGCATATAATTAACCCAACCCCAGTTAATCCCACGAGTAGACATATTTCTGAATAACTGTTGTCTTCTCTAAGGATTGTTGCTGCTGCACTAAGACCAATCAGAGGTCCTAGCCATAATCCTGCACTTGCTTTTGGTCTTAAAAATAGAGAAAAAAAATGATTGTCATTTATTTTGAGAATATAAAAAAATTCAATTCTTCAGTATCCAACAGCAAATGCATGGAAAATCTGCAAATGTCATGGCTCATCCATGCATTTTTCATGTGTTGTTTTAGTCATAAACAACATCATCAGTTTCAAGGAAAAACGATAAAATATGAATGGATTCAGAGGTTAGGTTGAAATACATCACCTAAACAACATGAACATTTTCACTCACCGATGTAATATTCTGCCAGTTTCCAAATTTTTCATTATCCTTTGTTCGCTATTTTTATAAGCTAATGTTAATGTCTCCATTGTTACTTAATTCTGAATAAAATGACAATAATGAGGAAAAAAAAATGAGCGTCTTGGAAACTCAACAATCAACACTGACAGATGCACTATTACTCAATTTTTACTTCTTACTGACATCAGGCACACCACTGACACAAATTCATCCCACCACTCGGGCATTCAAGCGTTGAACATTCACATACGTATCTGCGATGTTATGATACGTGTAATACGAGACGAAGTACGTATACCCAGCAGCCTTTTAAAATTGCATGATACGTCAATTATTCATTTACGTGTTTAAGTTTTTCTTTCTCGTCATATTTCATTCTTTTCCTTGTCATTCACGTCATATTAATTATGAAAAGAATTAGATAGCATGCTTTAGAATCACAGAAAGCAATACACTGTTGAAAACAACTTTTATTATGCTTTAATGGAAAATATATTATTACAATGCCTATTGGGTATTTGGTGAATTATTCTATAAACTGCACATTCTCAATAGAATAAAATAAGTACTATTACAACAATCATTTCCGAGTAATTTTTCTCAGTTTTTGTATAAATTACTGAGTCACAACATTTAAATTGCTATCGACTATAGGGGAGATATATGTAAAATACAAAGACGGAAAAACTTATGCGTAAATGAAACATGAATAATTCATTTCCACTCGTCTGGTACGAGGAAAAGATTCAGGCCAGTTTGAATGCATTTGAGAGTAGCTTACATCGGTAAACATCAATCGAAGGTGAAATTTCGTATAAATACTCAGTACTCTCAGTAAACACGGCGCAACACGGCGGCTTTGAAAATATAGTCAGGCCAATCGGAACATTTCACATACTTCTTTAAACGTACATTGAAAAGGGATAGGGGAGTAACAATAGCATAAAATAATGATCGTAGAAAGCCGAAGATTTAATTGCTGTTGGATTTTATGAAATTAATTAAGCCATTTGTTGACGAATCGTGACTAGTGATTTTATCAGCGTTGTTTAGTTCCGGTTCAATTGCCTTTGCCAACTGCTTGCCCAATTCCACACTGTATGAAAATTATTTTATTTGAAAAATTTGGATTAAGTGGATGAAAAAGAATTTATGAATCTTGCGATTGAAATCGGTTATGGGTATGAGGTTGAAATAAATTATTAAAAAATAATCTTACCCCCATTGATCGAAGGAATTGATATCCCAGAGAATTCCCTGAGTGAAGATTTTATGTTCGTACATCGCTGAAATGGCGGAAAATTAATGATTATAAATTATCTGAGGGCGTTTAAAGTTTCGAATTTGTTGAGAGGATTGCTAACGATCAATATTTACCAATTAAAGCCCCCAATGTGAACGGTGAAACTTTCTTAACGAGAATGCTGTTGGTTGGGCGGTTTCCTTCAAAAACTTTATGCGGCAGAAGGAGCTTCACTTTTTCGTCACTTAGTCCCGATTTTTGAAGCTCTTCTTTAGCTTGGTCGCAACTTTTGCCCTTCATTAGTGCTTCAGTCTGAGCGAGGAAGTTTGCCAGTAATATCTTATGATGCAAGTCGCCTTGTACCTTTCAGATTAAAAAGTTGATGATAAAAAATACAAAATATTCTATTAAAAAATAAATACCTTATTATGAGACAACACGGGGGCGATGAAGTCAGCAGGTACCAGCCTGGTTCCCTGATGTATCAATTGATAAAATGCATGTTGTCCGTTAGTGCCAGGTTCGCCCCAAACAATCGGACCCGTAGTGTAATTCACTTTTGATCCCGACCGCGTCACGTACTTTCCATTACTCTCCATATCACCTTGTTGAAAATAAGCGGCAAATCGGTGGAGATACTGATCATAAGGGAGCAATGCATGAGTTTCGGCTTTGAAGAAGTTGGAATACCAAACCCCCAGCAGAGCCAGGATCACTGGAGCATTTTTCTCCAGAGGGGCAGTACGGAAATGTTGATCCATGAAAAATGCACCGCTCAGCAGTTTTTCGAAATTATCAAATCCAATAGATAAGCAGATCGACAGACCAATTGCTGACCACAGAGAATAACGTCCTCCCACCCAATCCCAAAAGCCAAACATATTTTTCTCGTCGATTCCGAATTCTGTAACCATTTTATTGTTTGTCGAGAGGGCGACGAAATGGGATGCTACTGCAGCATTCTAGAATGGGAGATTCATGAAATCTTGTTGTATGGTATTTTATCCTCTCATGTTGTTTTGTCGCATAATATTATGTATTTATTTTTGCTGACCTAAGAATTAATTGCTCAAGTAAATAATTATAAAAAATTCTCACATCCTTCAAATGTTCAAGAAGCCAAAGTTTAGCCGATGTTGCATTTGTAATAGTTTCCTGTGTAGTAAACGTCTTTGAAGCAATAATAAATAACGCAGTCTCCGGGTTCAATTTTTTTAGAGTTTCCGCGATGTGGGTACCATCAATATTACTGACGAAGTGAACCCTTGGTCCAATGTGATAGGGCTTCAATGCTTCCGTGACCATTAAAGGTCCCAGGTCAGATCCCCCAATGCCGATGTTGACGACGTCTTCGATCGGTTTGCCAGTAAAACCTTTCCATTCTTTATTGATCACCTGGCAAAATGAAATCGTCTCGTAACATCACGTTGTAAATATAATCTATGAGAATATGACTCTGTTGGAGCCAATAGGACCAATAATGCACCTGATTGGTAAACTGTTTCATGTGCTGCAGCACAGCATTAATATCCGGCATGACATCTTTACCATCAACATGAATCGGCGTATTTTGTCTATTTCTCAAGGCAGTGTGGAGCACAGCACGATTTTCAGTGAAATTGATTTTCTCACCAGCAAACATTGCCTCACGTGCTTTTTCTATTTGTCTAGCCCGAGCTAGATTCATGAGTAAACCGAAGGCTTTATCATCCAGTCGGTTCTTGGAGTAATCTAGAAGAATGGGTCCATCATCGGGAGTACTAATGCTCAAACTGAAAAAAAAATCATGAAGCAAAACCATTTACCCTAAAAAATAATTCACATATTTTTTTTTTTCATAGCAATTATATAATACAATCCAATCGATGAATATGTAATTGAATAGCTTATCCAGAATAATATTATTGATATATTGCCATTTTTTATTACAATGATCATAAGGATATCAATTATTGAAATCCATTATGAAATAATAAACGATTTGTTACGGGCAAAAATAAAAATGCATACATGTTACTTTTCGCATTAATTTCCACGACTCATTATCGGCTTTTAAATGCCATTTTTCGGACTGTTAAATGGCCATGGTCAGCCAGAGGTCATCAGCCAATGCCCATGACATTCTCAATAACTCACCTAAATTTTTCGAACCTCCCCGGTTGCTGTTGAAACAAATCAGCAATATTGATCTTAGATCCAGTGTTATTGAAATACTCTTCCAATTCCTTCCACGCGCTTTCCTCTGTTAATTTTCCTTTCGGTTCCATTTTACGAGATTGACGTATTTCTACGTTAAAAACTGATCTCTTCCAGAAGTTTGAATCGCTCGGAATAAACACCCACTAACACCGTGACTAGTCTCACGAATTTCGTCCTCTAATATGTCCTTCAAGAAATTGTATGATACCGTGGGGTTATTTGGTGTTTTCAGTGTGTATGCATGTACATGCATACAATACACCTTGGTAAAAGATAAAGTAGATCATTCTGTTTTCCAACAGTTGCTGGGATGTTATCCGGTTTATTAAAAAAAGCATGGACTGGAACATACGATGCGGTGCCACCTACGATGCCGGTGGGGTCATTCGAACCCCTAGAACTGAGCCTCTACTTCAGTCAATCCTCCCTGGACTGGAAAGTATCCATGGGCGGTAAGCCGAAGGATGCGTTCTCATGTGAACATTCCTGGAGTGGTAGTGTCATGGCATGATTAACCTCAAACTCATATCGCGTATGAAAATAAGAAAGTGCCGATAATGTTGTTGATAAATTTAAATTCACGTTTATGCATAAAATATCCAGCACCAGCTAAAATAATTCGATTCTCGAGTGGTGCAGTGGCAACAATACAAAATCAAACCGAAAAAGTTGAATATCCTCCAATACTAGATACTCGCTTTAAAGCATCTTACAGGAGATACCTGGAGAAAAAACACGATGCGGTGAAGAATGTCAAAACTGTCGAGGAAAAGATGATAAAACTTAATATGCCGAAATATTGGGGATTTAAAACGCTAATGTATGAAGAGGGAAGGATTTTTTATAATGAGCTGCCGCATGCTCAGTACATCACGAGAACGCATGTTATGAGGGAGCCAAAATTGCCGGACAGTTATGACAATCTGATGGCATCCGATGATTTGGAGGGATTGGTCAAGGAGATTAAGGAGTTGTTTGACGATGGAATTGCTTTTGAACTTGTTGGTAGAAGGTGAATATTAATTCTCATCGATGAAGTCGTATAAACAATATTATTCTCCTTATGATTCATATAGGTAAATTTGTAATTTGTACTAATCACTAGACGTTGATTATTCGTACTTTTTATCATCTTGGAGACATTGCAAATTAGTGATTCAGGTCGTTATGTAGCGCAAGGCGAGGTTAGCGCTAAAAGAGCGCAGTTCTTGAGGGACTAATTGATTATGTAGTTATCAAGAGTCACCATAAACGGTTCTTGAAATACTTCAATGTGAATGAGCTGTGTCAATTTGAATATAGAACATCGGCTATCTCTTTGACATGGATTTCAAAAGATCATTCACACCAAGACCCGTAGTTATCGAACTACCTAGGAATTTTTTTTTTTTTTTTGCAGTCGAGCCCAGGAAATATCCGATGAAATGCTCAAGAAACCCGACAAGAAAGAAAACTGGGTGGGTGAGATTGTAGCAAAACAAACAAATCGAATTTTAACGTCAATCCTAGTCAGTCGTTATCCTCATCTTCTCTCAACTGAGGTTGATTTCAATCCTCGAGTGGAAGCTTTTTGGTTTGCGGGGGGCATTGAGCTCCACCCCGGCATAATTAATTTAAGAAAGCGCAAGAGCTGGCACGACGTACTTGATGAACCGAACGATAGAGCCCTTCAATACTTAGGGAGTCCATCGCTACATTTGAGACACAGACTACCCTTGAGAGAAATTATGCCGTTATCCGAGTGTGAAAATCCAGAATACGATATTCCCACATTCAAATATGATCCAAGGACACAGGGGCACAGTGCACAACGAAGACATGGAACGAGTATACCTGGATTTTGGCCGGGAGATGTCAATGAATTTGGACTCATGTCGTATCACAAACGGGGCTATATGCTAACAAGATTGGGAGACGATGGACTTGAGGCATTGAAGACTCAGGCTATTTTTGCGAACTGGGGATGGCTGCTGGCTCAAGCCTGTCATCTAGGTCATTCATTAATATTTATTTATAACATTCATTATTTAATATTCATTCTTTCTCATCATCATTGAAAGCCCGGTCGAAATTCTGAACCAACCGCATCTCATCAGGATTGCGATTTTTCTAAAAAAATTGTATATGAATTATTTCGAGGCCATCACTAGCTCGTTCCGTGCATGAAAATTTTTTTCGAAATAAGCGCTGAATATTTACGACTCCATAATTTTACTTCAATTTTCATTCAATTTATTTATGTATATACAGGCTTTTCGACGTACAATGATATTACATATCCCCTAGTAAATCAAGCTGTGATCACAAATGGCCAATGGTGGTCGTTCAGCGTGTACCAATTGAATACAACTCTCGTGAACAATTGGCACAATGATTCAAATCCAAAACGAAATATTTTATGGATGACGGAACCCATGAAGCTGTATGAGACAATAGAGAATGGCAAACTCATCGGCGTGAATGATGATGTACTAAAAACTCTGATCAAATTTTACGCCAATGCACCAGAAGAGAGGGAAGGGGTGGTTAGTAAACCGTACCTGGGGGAAGATGAAAAATTGACGGCCGATATTGAACACGATGACAGAAGGAATTTCGTTGAGAACTGTTACAAATTACTGATGTCTAACAGACCTCGGCACAAGTAAGTTCATTATAAAGTAAATAGAGCTGTGGCGAGTATGAACACTAGGAATCTCCGCTCGCCAATAGTAAACATCGTCAATCAAAATCAGGTACCTGAAAATCAACAAGTTATTTTTGCTTTTCATAGAGTACCACCTGAGCTTTATCACTGGGAGTGGATATACAAACATCTATTCAAAACCCGACCACTTGATAAGCGTCGCACTCCATGGGATTATGGCATCAATCCATACACCCGCAGACTTGATGAGCATCGACTTAAATACATCCCAAAGAAGTTTAGACCTGTAAATAAACCGCGAGACAAGTACGCTCCGAACTATTATCCATGATGTTATTATTCATAATTATAGTATTGTAAAAATGAATAAAACCAGTGAAAAAAAATATTTAAAAATCAGAATTTAAATTTTAAAACCTACATAATCGTAAAGAAGGTAAAATAAATGCATCACCGATTCATAGGATATCATCCTATAAATATATAAAAAAAAACTGCAGGGTGTTTCATGCGTCTGCAATTGTAAATGGTGCGCGGGATAACAATCAATTATTTTTTCAAGTAAATAAATCACCAGTAAAATTCTTATAATTCGCAATCTTGAAAGATTGACGTACGTTATACTCCATAACTGCTTAAAATATATTTTTAATTAATACTAGATTCGAAAATTTTTTAATTACCGCACGAGGGAATTTCCCGAAACCTGTCCCTGACACATGGCATTAATTACTCGAAGAGCTTGAAGAGAATATCTGAAAAATTAAATCGTTTCACGAATCTCCCCCACCCGTCTGAGAAGCCAGTGGTCACTTATAAAGGGGCTCCGGGGGTTAAGGCAATTTGTGCTGGTTAGCGTGGCCGTTTCGTTGAAAATCAACCAAACGAAAAAAAATACAATAAAGATACTCACAAACGGTTCAGTTACTTCATCACGTCAGAGGCAGAGTAACAGCTCCATACTATATATGTAAGTGCTACCATTTATTCCAAGTGCATTGCACAAAGAAAAATCAAAACGGCACAAAATAGAGAAGATCATTGAGACTTAATAAAAACTTTCGTAAGCATTGCAATGTTATCGCAAGGATATCATTTTTTTTTACATTATACTTCAAAGTAATATAAATAGAGAGGAATAATAATTTCTTGAAATTTGACCCTAAAAACTTTTAAATTATCGAACAATAGTCATGGAGACATCAATTCGTAGAAATTTAGAGAGAACTTGTCAGCCGGAATAAATATTTCATGAATTCTGTGAGGACGCCAGGCATTGATGCTTCTTATCTTTTGCTCATTTAAGGCTGTTAATAGGTCCTATTATACGAAGAAAAGGCAAATAAAAATTCTGCTGATTGAATAAGGCAATACAAAATAAACATATTTGATCGATGCATTTTCAATTTACTTATTGTTTGTTTAATATGTTTTCTAGATTGCCAATATGCCGTTGTTCATAACTCTAATAATCGGATTGGTGCTGAGTACAGGTAAGAGAAATGATATACTGTAGAAATGGTGATGTCTCACACAAATGATTTCGTAACCATTTCAGTTCACGGCGATGATTGCATACCTCGTAAATTTGACGAGAATAGTATTGTCTGTGTTTGCAATTCAACTTACTGTGATTCAGTCGAAATTGAAGTGCCCGTGAAGGGTGCGTTTCGTATTTATACATCAAGCCAATCTGGCCAGAGATTAGAGAGTCAAGATGGCAATTTTGAAAATTGCATAGATGATAGAGGAGCTCTTCGTTTGGATCCAACGACAAAATATCAAACGATATGTGGTTTTGGGGGGGCATTTACGGATGCAGCGGGCTTGAATATCTTGTCCTTGAGTGTGCCGACTCAACAGCAATTAATACAGTACGTCAATTACATTTAAAAAGCAAAATAGCGCTTATCATGAGACAATAGAAGAAGACTCAGTCATTATCTTCGATGTTTCAGAACGTACTTCGGACGCAATGGTAATCGCTATAACTTGGGCCGCGTTCCGATCGGTGGTTCCGATTTCTCTACGCGTCCTTATACATTAGACGATATCCCCGGAGATACGACACTGGCCAATTTTTCTCTTGCACCTGAAGACATATCATACAAAATACCATACATGAAAAAAGCACTCGACCTTAATCCTGACCTGAGATTCATTGCAGGATCATGGACGGCTCCACCCTGGATGAAGACAGACAACCAATATGTCGGATTATTCGGCGAATTAAAAACTGAATATTATCAAACATATGCAGATTATCTGATCAAATTTTTAGAGACTTACAAGCAATCGGAATTACCCATGTGGGCGATGAGTACCGGTAATGAGCCGATTGATGGTTTCTTTCAATTCGTACAAATTAACAGTATGGCCTGGACTCCTCAGCAACAGGCTACGTGGTTAGTAAATAATTTGGCACCAGCGCTTGCCCAATCAACAGCAGGTGATATAAAAATTTTAGCTCTCGATGATGAGCGATATCAGCTACCGTGGTGGATAGATATGATGTATGAAACTGAAGAAGTCGATAGATACCTAGCCGGTATCGCCATTCACTGGTACTCAGATTCGCTCGCTCCTTCATCTCTCCTCGATAAGACTCATACGAAATATCCAGATAAATTTATCATCAATACGGAGGCTTCCGTCACTCCACTGCCTTGGGACACAAAACCTGTTAGGTTGGGATCCTGGCGACGAGCTGAACTATATATTCGCGATATTATTGAGGTGTGCTGTTTATTCCATTTTCCATAGTTCCCCCATAATATCAAGTTATTTTCAATATTTTCATTTATTTAGGATTTGAATCACTGGGTATGTGGCTGGGTAGATTGGAATCTGGCATTGGATAAAGATGGTGGACCAAACTGGGTACATAATCCCGTTGATTCACCCATTATCGTTAATCCTGAAACTGATGAATTTTTCAAACAACCACTGTTTTACTCAATGGCTCACTTCAGCAAATTTTTACCACTCGGTTCAACGAGAATCGATCTCACTCCTAGTCGTGCAATTAAATCTGTGGCATTCTTAACGCCTAACAATGAAGTTGTCGTTGTTCTCCATAATCCGTAAGTTCTTCGTTTTGTCTGAATATATTGGCGATGCAATGAAAAATTTTATTTAATGTTTGTTTCAGGACATACAGGAGCAAAGTTATTACCATCAATGATCCGGACCTGGGAGCAATGCAAATTGAAATGCCCCCGAAGTCAGTGCAAACCGTTATTTACCAACGCTAATAAAATGTAGATAGCAGATTGCTATATGCAATAGCTGTGTATGTTCACTATCAGATTAATATGACAAGATAATCTTCCCTGCGAGATGTGATGACACCGCTCCAAGGATACCAACAACGCTTAAAAGATAATGGGATAGACAAGTTTTCATGATGTAGTTCTTCAATGTTTTAAGAATAAATCAATTGTAAAAAATAATTATATGATGTTTGAATTCTCTTGAACCTTCCGAATAAATAAAAATGGCGTCAGATTAGTCTTATCAAATAACTACGGAAATAGTCTTGCTATTCCAATCATCTGAACTTCATCACGAAACCAAAAAAAAAACAATCTCAGAATGGCGTACTAAATGAAATGAGACATTCTCATTTCAATCTACAGAAATATGAGGATTGTAGCGAGATGTAATTAGAAGCCCTAGGCCGTGACAAAAATGTATACGAAATTCAATGTGTATTTTTATGACTGATTTTCATCGCGGTTATCTCTTGAATCAGCGAAGAGACTTTGAATGTCACTAATCACATGGATTCAACCACGAAGTCAGTCCCTCGGCGTTCCAAGCGCCCATCCAATCTTAATTCCCAGAAAATCCACCGGTACGTGCTATTTCATACATATTTATATGCTCCCTTGATTTTTTTTCTTCATATTCTGCGATTTGGAGGATTTGGTTTTTTGGAATGAGATATTCAGGCAGAATGAAGAATCAAAAAAATTAATACTTCAACCATAATTAATTTAATTGCAGTAGACTTATACCTTTGCCCTAATTTGTGAATGATTCTCATGATTTAATAGAACCCCAATTACATCATTGATTCCCAAAGAGAATGAGAAAATTAATAAAAATATAAGTACTACCCTACAAAATTCACGGAGAATGCTTGCCAAGCAGGAGAGTTCGATGAATCCTTACAATAAATTCGAGTACCCAATGATCCCGTATCAAATGAGTTTGAAATTCGAGGATCTGATGGCAAATCCAGAAAACTTAAAACCAGCAGCGTGCAATCCTCTACTTATGACACCCACCAAGAATTGTTTTCAATATCCAATGGAACCGCCCATCAGCCCAGAAGGAGATGTTCAGTCAGCCGTAATTGAAGTCGACAGATTTGTGGGTACGGGAGAACGTAGGCGGAAACTCTACTATGCAGTTAAAACTAGAGTTGAAAATGCAATAAAGGTTGGTATGGTTTGCGTGAAGTTTAGCGAAGGTAGCTTTGTAGTGTGATTCAGATTATTTTGAGCTTTCACTTTATTTGAGTATGATGACTTGTCAATGAATTTTTGTCTCAAGCAACACAAGGTATTTTTAATACGCGGAGATCTGCCAATGCTGGTGAGAGCACTCGAGGCACGTGGCTGGTTGCAGAAATACGAATCTGTTAAAACTCGAATGCTGCCCTATGGTGAATCTTATCGTAAATTATTCTCTCGATAATCTCATGGAGGCTGAATTTTTCATTGTATTCACTGCATATCAGCAGGTGTCATGAATCTCAATTCAAAATCATTGGGAGATATTATTCAGGGAGATGGTTCATTAAACGAGAAAGCACTTGTATTTGCTCTTTTGCGAAATACACCACCAGACTTCATTTGGGACTGCCGTAATAATTTCGATGAGTGGGACTCTTCGCTGGAGCATAATGTTCTCTTAAATCGTTTCGAAAGATCTTCAATTTACACGTCAAAAGTATTTTCATTTGAAATAGTGAAGCTTTCTTCCTCATCGTAGGAGGAGGAAGTTTTCAATACCTGGATCTCTGGAATAAATTTTTTTTTTCTTTTGAAAATTCATGATTTTTTCATTCCTCCAAAATAGTTAGGCTTGGCTCGGATTCTGGAAGAGGCTCATTGGTTTCACGAGGAGAACATATCAAGCCTCCATTTTCCACGCAGTTACAATCCTGCGAGAGAAGCAAACGAATTTATAGAGGATTTTCGTCGCACAGCAGCAGTTGGCTTATTAAAATGGTTTGTTATAAAAAACCAAGAGGAACTGGATACTACGGAAGAGAAACCAACGATTCCCGTCAGTAGATTGGAATTTGCCGTTAAAATATGTGAAAGCTATTTAGCAGATATTGAACATGAAAACATTGATGAGATGGCGATGCTGGAGAATACGGAGGACGAGTGGAATATTTTCCTTGAGGATTATTCCAATGTTATCCATAAGGGTTTTGTAATATCTAATACCGAAGAAGAGGCTCCGGCAAAGCTCGAGGTTTTTTTTTAATTCGCTCATTTCAAATGCATTACAAATTCTAGTGTTTTTATTTTTTTTTTTCGATTAGAAATTATATTTACTGGGATCGGAGATATTGAAGAAATTGAAGGAATTCGATCCAGAGTATGAGCTCAATGGATTGAGAAATATTTGGATTTTAAAACCGAGCAATTTATGTTGTGGCACTGGCATCAGCATATCTCATTGCATCAAAGACATATATCGTCAAGTCGATTGTAAACCTAAGGATTATTTCAGCATACAAAAGTACATCGGTAAATGGAAAAAATTTGAAACGAACCGATTATAAATGAAAATGAGTAATGGGGGTTGTTGACAATGACAATAAAAAATTTTTTTTTTACATTTTTCTTTACAGAAAGACCACTGCTGATTGAAGAAACAAAATTTGACATTCGATTGTGGTATCTTGTGACCAGCACACTCCCTTTAACCATCTGGCTATTCGAGTAATTAATTGCGTATTCTACAGGAATATTAAAAATACTCAAAATACTTCGAGTCAAAATAATAAATTGATTCTTTATTTATTTTTCATTTTAAACACCTAAATTTCATTATGTATGATGAAAAACACGAGACGTATCCTGCCGTAACACAACCCACCTTTCATCTCACTAAAAAAACGCAGTAACTCAATTTATCACTTTTACTTTACCGCAGAGAAGCATTATTACGATTCAGCTCGAAGCCCTACTCGGTTTCCACTTATCATGAGGCAATTCATCTCTGCAATACCGCTATTCAGCAGAAATATGACTACGAGAAACGGCGGAGACGTAAAAGAGGAAACACCGATGAAATTCAGGAGTCGATTCGCGATCAAGGATGGGATTGCAAAATGCTGAACGAGTATTTAAAGTAATTTCATGTTTTGCTACATTTTTTTATTTCATAGAATGGCATTTGTGAATTTTTTTCACGGGATGAGATATATATCTTGCTCTCCAGTCTTCTAGTTTTTTCTTCATCTTTTATCTATTAGAACTCGGGGCTTTAGCGGCGAGCCATATTACCACATTATATATCCGAAAATGTCAGAGGCCATTGTGTTGACTATGCTTGCGGCACAGGAGCATATGGATCGCAGACGATGCAGTTTTGAACTTTACGGGGCTGATTTTATGGTGCTAGATGATCTTTCCGTATGGCTGATTGAAATTAATACGAATCCACGTATGCATCCACCCAGTTCGAGAATAACTCAACGACTGTATAATAATGTACTGGAGAGTCTTGTCAAAGGTCAGTCAGTATAAAGTATCAAATTGTCAATCGAGTCAGAGTCTGAGAATTATCAGTTCACTATTCCAGTCATCATTAAATTATTTTTTTTTAAGAAAGAAACACAATATGAGAATCATATTATGAACAATTGGAGTTTCCGAGTAAGAAAGTTCTATGTTTTCTGATGACGTTTTACTCTAGAGTTCGCTCCCTTATCCTTCAATCTTTGCACTCTTAGAAACTTACCGGAGAGTTTCATGTTAGTACCGTTTGTACTGAAAGCAGGAGTTGGCTCCTAATCAAACAAATTGGACTATTGAAAACGGTCTTGGTTCGATTTTTCCTTGGCCTACTCCATATTTTCACTTCTCTTTACTCCTCTTTACTTCTCAACTCTTTTCTCCGAATTTTTATATTTTTAAGTTAAACTACATGCTCAAGGACTTCTTCGAAGGATTTTCTCAAAAAAGTTTAAAGAGTTTCTTGGCTTTAGGAGTAAAAAAATATTGTTGAAGTAACGTGTTTGTACAGGGTGAGTTGAAGGTTTACTTTCAATTATTTTTTTTTTCTTACAGTGGTGATGGACTCACCTCTCAACTCCTCGAGTGATACTGGAGGTTTTCAACTTGTCTACAAGCAAAGCTCACTAAATTTTATTCCCTATCTTGGTCCTGATCTCTTTGTATTTGGTAAACGTACGGTAGGACGAGAAAAAGAGGATGAAAATGTGAACAACAGTCAGACAAATATTTGTACTGCCTGGAGAAAACCCAGTCGTGCATGGACAGCACCGATTAAATCGCACAATAAAAATTGAAAGATTCTTAATACTGGCGAATAGGGTCAGACGATCATTCCAATATACCTTAACAGGTATGAGTGAATTATTGGGATTAATAATAACGCAAATTATATCAAAGACATTGGATTTATTGATATGTACATACAATTATTTTATTTACAATTACGTAGTATTCATAATTTCGATGATGATGTCATTAAATTTTTTAAATGTTAGTTTTCAAATTTGGACTATAACAAAATACTACATCCTTATGAATTATTGTACTGGGGGCTTGATCTGTGAAGAAACAATTTCTCTTGGTCACAATAGTACAATAGAAGTGGCAAATTTTACCCTGATGAAAAAATTATTTTCTCGGTCTTAATTTTTTTGCTTCTAGCTTTTTCAATTACATAATTATTCATGGCCGCTTGAAGTTTAACCACTCGGGTAATTGTCATTTAAGCGGATAATGAATCTCATATAAATAGAATTGTAGTCGCTATGGTAGTTAAGAACAAACGAAATTTATCGTCGCTGTGCAAATACGCACTCACACCGTGATGCATTGCAGCGGGATGTTCTTCTGCAACATTGAGCACAAAAACGCCACGAATGATTCTCAAGCGTTTGCAATCGCTCAAACAAAAGATATTAATCATATTGTCATCATTACCTCTGACAACGTGAACTCTTATACAGTTCGGATTGGCATTGCTTGGCTTGCAAGTGTAAATACCAGAGTCACTTGGCACTGCATTCTGTATCATCAATCGACTTGATGTCTCACGACCCTTTTCTGTCACCAGACTGATACCACCACGGGGCGAATCAAAATTGATATTCTTCAATTGTATCCATATGCAAAAAAGAAGTGACAAATTTAACTTCATGTGTTATTCTTCTTTTCAAGTGACTTAATTTTTTTGGGGGTAGACGCCATAACGTCGAAAGAAAAATTTATCCGTCCACTCAACGAGACTCATTGTTCTTGATTGACATTTTTTTTATGTTCTCTATCTGGTCATTCTTCATATCGTTGAGAGCGCGATGACACTGCAGTTTAGGGGAAAACTCACCTCGCTATTGTGACGCCAAATCATCGTTGGAGGTGGATCTGGGGCATATTTAACGAGACAAGTTAGGTTGATAGTGCTGCCTTTATTCACAAAAAGATCGGGCTCCCCCACTATAATGGTCACGGGCTCTGAAACATACATACACATACACGAGTGCACATTCAAAGGTGCACCAAGTTCATTGTGTTCATGTGGGATAATGCGGTTTCCCAAAGGATCTCTAGGTGCATGCACGATGTAAATCTGCTTGGAAACGATATGTTGTCACGTTGATGGTTAATTGAATAAAGACAACCCATTTACCGACTATAGTCAGAAATACTGGATGGCCAATGGGCGGTGTTGTTGATATTTGGCACTCGTAGAAACCCGAGTCCTTGCGCTGCGGATAACGAATCCTTAGAGTCCACTCCTCTGTATGTGGAAAATGTTGGGCCTCAAAACGTTGATCACTCGTATAGGTATAACGACCAACTGTCAACAAGTGTATGTCACGATGTCTTACCCAGGATACCTGTTGAAAAAATTAATCATTTTTTCGACTAATCTAACTTATTTCCATGTATAAGGCTCGTGACAATATACATCAAGTCACGTTGGATACTGTGGCAGCGATGAACATTATTGATTTTCCCGGTTCTCTCGCTAGCTTTAAACTTGTTCTCGTACCGAAGGTAGAGGTGTGGGTTCTTGCATCACTCGGTTACAAACCAAAGATTAATGTTATACCGAAGTATACCTGCGATTCATCGATCGCTCCTACAAATACCTCTTGCCCTTCTGGTATATGACGAACCTCTACCGAATTTCTCCATCTCTTTAAACGCAGAACCTGGGAAAAGCCATTTTCTTGACGTGTACCGGCCAGAAAATTATCTTTTTCAGTCGAAAAGTCAGTCAGTATTTTCAGGCCTAGCCGTAGAAAAAATATAATTCCTCCCCACATTCCGGATTGATATCCGAGCCGAAGGCGAGACCGACGATACGCAGTCATTCTTTTTTATTCACGATATTTTCGATTGAGATCGAACTTACCGTACGGTTACCCAGATTTTTGACTTTGCAAACAAGATCAACAGTGTCGCCAACCAGACCAGTGAAATTTGAAGGCATCGAGGTATCGAAGTGTGGTCCAGTACCAGGTGTTGGCCATTCTTCCAAAAAATCGGTGCGAAAATTACGTAGACATGTTACAACTCCACCTGTAATCACATTAACATCTATACGGAGTCCTCAGAGACATAGCCCCTTCATGCCGTACGTCAATCTCTAGATTCAACCATCTAAGCCGCTGAATTACAATGAGATAAAATAATTATAAAAGAGGAATAATTAGAATTAGAATATCAAAACATTCAGGAATAATGAAACTGACCCAATGCAGTAAGAGTAATATATATGAGCACATATAATTATTCTCATGTATATTATATATGTTTTGCGCGAGCGAACATTGCTCCGAAGTTTTATGCTACTCTAACTCTGCTTTTAATGAACCACGCCCAGAACTTTGGTTCATTTAATTTAAAATTTGTTTCCATTTTTCACAGGCTGTCTTCAAAGAGCATTTTTTTAAGTCCAGCCAAGCAAAATCCTCGGTACGATGTATGTTTTAAAAATCATTACTCTAGTTTTCTTGTTATGTATTTGAATGAATAAATCTGAGAGCGCGGGCCATCACTGACATTCATTGTCGTTCATCAAGATGTGCATATTCCGGAAGAATGAACCACTGAAAGTGCAGGTTATTGCAATGTCAGCGTTTCTTCAATTCAACATTTTATTTCTCAATTTAAGAGAAGGCTGAATAATATTCATTGTGTTCATATTAATTGCAATAATAAAAATAATATTAAAAAATGAGTTGGACATTATTGCAAATCAAAAAAATTAAAATCCAGATGTAAAATCTTGATATCCCGACGCGAAAATTATGGTCAATAGAACCTGTGAAATAATGGTAAAATTATCGCCCTAAAGGATATTTCAGCTATAACACTCGTAAATATAAATATTGATTGGGATTTTTCAACGAATGATAAGAATCACTGAATTCTTCAAACTTCAGTGATCGAATTTTCTCCGCTGTGTAATCGGACATGATTTAATAATCCTCCGTAGAGTTTCAAATTTTTTTTGTTTTTAAAAAAAAAAACGTGTGAAAAAAATTCACTCATCGGAGATACTGCGAGGGCTTCCCTTTCTGATGAAAGCCAAAACTTAATATTTTTAATTTTTTACTCTGAATTAATGCAATTAATGGAAATGATAAAAAAAAATGTCAACTTACCCAAATAAACGATAAAGCAAAGGAGCGAGGAAAGAGAAGTAGACATCGCTGGTTCCTAGCGATAACTCTTACATTCTCAGATACTATCTCACTAGCATTTTCAGCCAATGTATCTATACTCCAATCGAAGCTTCTGACGTTTATAAAAGAATTCTATGCGCGTATCCTCAATTTCCAACTGTAACATCATGCATCTGACGTTTTATGGGCTACATTGTACGCGCGGCTCCGGCACTTCAAAATGGTGAACATGATGTAATTCACCAGTTGAGATGAATCCCCAATGATAAGTATTCTCAGCTGTCATAATTATACCACCACATTCCCTCTCACAGCTCTTCTCCGAGGTATAGTAATTTAAAAAAAAAATTCCCTCCAATAGGAAATCATACTTGACTTTATTTTCTGAAATATCACAATGAAATTTATGGACGGATTAATCAGGCTTTTGTCCACATGACAGATATCACTAAATCACTGGCAGATATTTCGGAATTAACAGCCTATCACAATGGCCACAATCAAAAAAAAAAGTTGACTAAAAATTGTTCCCCTTCAATGCAACATTAATTATCACCACTTGGGTTCACTCATTCAAGGAGAATTCTTGACGAATACTCTGACTTGTAGACACTGTACTTTCACAGCTTGAGCTATTATTGAGCGAGAAACCGCGTTAGCGAAATTGCATCAATAAATTCCTTGACCAATCGAACTAACTGATGGTCCTCTATGCCGAGTGTTATAATGTTACTACACATTAGAGTGGTTGATGCAGAACAGAGCTCACTTTCGAAAGGAGATGCTCCCGCGTCAAGGATTGACGAGGAACTACATTGCGCGAGCGCCAATAAGGGGTTGAGGACGCAGTCGCCCCTTTGCAGCCACCATATGTAGAAAATTCCTCTCCCTACCCTACAACCCACACAACACCACTATGAACTCCTTCTCCATGTTTGTCCAAAGATATCTGGTTAAAGGTGCAACTGCACGAGTTTAAATGAAATGATTTAAATGAAAAAAAATATTCAAAGAACCGGACCCAACGGTTCTCCACCCATTGCACATAATTGCATCTGATATTATCAGTTTTTTAAAACTGAAATTACTTTGTTTTTCCCTCCTCGTTATATGTAATTGTGAATGGATTTTATGTACTTAGAAAATTCAATTAAGAATATATTCACCAAGAAGAAATAGACCAGTAATTAACTCGGAGAGCGCTCAACCAGGTACTCATTTGCGATAGATGTTGTATTTCACTCCCATAACTTTTATGTAGACGACGTGTTCATGTTTACGATCGATAAGGTTTCGCACACTTACCTGACTACTGTGTGAATCTGGTCATTTAAACGTGTACTACCGACACGTTGAGCTGATCACCAGCACGGATTCCACTTCAATTTTTCTCTCCTTTTCAGAACCGTAGGGGAAAAGTAGGATCGAAATAATTTTGTAATCAATAATTATGTGAATGGTCGATATAATTGAAGGACGGGCTGAATTATATAATATCTTTGATATTTTCCTCTCATCGATGCAACCTGAATATTTGATGAATGTTTATGTATACTATTCTTATGGCTCCACTTCAGCACGATATACTGTAATCGGATTTTATCATATCTATTCATCGGAGTACTTGGACTAAACCGGTAGAGTCGAAAATTATTCTCAGACGTTACCTGCGTTATACGTTCCGTTTAAAAGAGAAGAGATTTTTTTGTAGGTCATACTCAGATAATAATCTCATCCATGATCAATGATTTCTCTTCGGGTAAACAAATGAGAAAAAAAAATGCATTCCAACCTATAGTTCCGATTCGGAATCGATCGAATTCGGGATTCAGTCACTCAAAATATCATTGATAATATATTCATACTTGCCATGGAAATATTCAAAGTGCTATGCATTGCAATATTTTTAAATTTTGATGTTAATCTGTCAGATATGAGCGCAGACTTTGAAACTCCCCAGACCAACGATGATATTAAATCAGACATAACGTCAATAAGCGAAGATATGTTGAATGTCAATATGAAAGCGAGCCCCACAACTGAAGTCAGCAATACGATATGGAATATGAATCGTGCTGTACGTGACGTTGCGTATTATTTAAGAGCTCATAAATTTTTAGACTACGATCATCGTTATTACAAGACAAGTGAGGAATCACTCGTGAAACTTTACCATGAATTTCCAAAACCTCCATTAAGATCTTTGCACTGGGAAGTGCATCGACATTGCATCAGCAGCTTTACCGAGTGTCTCAAGTATCTTGATACCACTGTACAATTGACCTCATTGAAACGTTCCGATGATATCACTACGATCATAAATCAGAAGAATTTGCATGTGGCAAAGGATAACGAAAAGATTTTGTCACTACAGAAGAATTGTCAAATGGCCCAGCATCGAGATAACTTGACATTCGTCCCTTTCCAGGGACCAATTGGTAAAGTTGGTTTTTTCAACTTTTTTTGTCAAGTTTAATTTAGGAGAATATTTTTATATTAAAAGAAGCATTGCTTCGATTATTTTAGAGAGATTTCAGTGGCGTACATCAGCGGCTTATTACATGTGCTGGTACACAATGTTGGAAACACCACAACTCGGACTTTTCGGTGAATCCTGCGATAATCATGCCAATTGCTTGGATGTCTATGGTGCCAATAATAAGGATCCCCGAGCCGATGACAGTCAACCTTTTGCTTGTGCTATGTATAGTTTCTGTCCAGATCACTGTTGTCCCATGAAACATATCTGGTATATGAAGGACTGCTTTCAGAATCCTGAGAATCCGTGTTATCGCAGTAATAATCCAGGTTACTCATTATATTGGAATAAAACTTTCCTCAAAAAAGCATTTTTTTCAGTGAAAAAGATCCTTGCGTGACGTATTTACGAGAGATTATTTCAGGTGCTCGAAAATGTTCACTCAGTCGTGAGAGTAATCAAGATTTAAATGCATTAATGAGTAACCAGATGAATATCAGTTGTAAATGCGAAACTAAGGGATACGAGTGGTCTTCACGATTTGGATTATGTGTTGATGTGAATGAATGTGTAAGGGGTCTTCATAATTGCTCACTCAAGGACGGTCAAATTTGTATTAATCTCCCCAGTAGTTTCGACTGCTTGTGCCAATATGGAATGGTCTGGAATATTCATGAAGGGAAATGTGATATTGTTAATGTTATCAAATATATCCTGCAAAATTCATCCAGCCACGAGAATTCAATTGATGAGACCGCCATGCAGACTTTGATAAAAACGTTGACGAGATCATCAGGCAGTCTTGAATACAGTCGTCATTCACTCCATTTTTGTTTTTATGTTGTGTGTATTTTAATGATTTATTGAGAAATTATCAGATTACAAAATTTGAAGATATTGGTTAATTTCATTCCATTAGTCCTCTTATCGGAGTTGGTCAACTTCCGTGTAATTACGGTCACCATTTTGTGTCATGTTACCGTTAGCCATATTGTGGATGAGTTTAAGGGCTTCTGCACCTGTGTACATTGTTTCCCGAGACGTGTCGAGCTCGATAGGTAATGATTTTCCGAAATCATGAAATGCTGTATCCGATAAATTGAATTGAAGAGAATCGTCTTTCACTGGCACTTCATACAATACAGCCGTTTCAGCTGGATTATGATCCTGAATAATTGATCCAGGTTTCGGTGTACTGAATTTCCTGAATTCAATATCTTCCTCTATTGGTCTGGAAAAATTATCATTGTCGTGGCATGTTCGTTTTTCCTCATGATCTTTTACTTTTTCGTCATTATCCAATTCATTCTCTCCGTGTTTCAGGTATTGCGATTGTAAAATTTTAATAGATTGATCGTTATTGGCCTCAACATCACTAGACAATTCGTTAGATTGTCGCGTCTTCTTCGGGCACATTGTTTTACATGGCCTTTTACCGACGCAATCTTCCTTCTGCTTCGGGACGCGTCCCTTGCACACTTTGAAATCTGCTTGAACATCATCACCACCAGGATGAGCCGCAGGTTTTACACACTGAACTTTACGATGCTTCGTACCTTTTTTACCATCGCATGCATTACACTTACTCCATTGACTGACTCTCCACCTGCCGTGAAAATTCAATGAGACCTGAGCCAAGTCTGAAGTCCATTATAAAATAATAATTATTGATTAAAACGTTACATGCTTTTTTTTCAAAGAAATTTCATCTTGCCCTGGTCTACCTTAAGTAGTTCTTTTTTTTACTGATAAATCAATCAACTTACTTGGCTGGACAGGGCTGCTCATTGCATACTCTTATCTTGGGCTCCGGCTTGGGTAAGTTTTGACAAAAATTCGCTGAAACTATTCCATTCTGCTGTTCAATACAAGACGGTTCTGAGTTCATAGTTCCACCGCCACATTTTGCATCACATTTTGACCATTCAGTAAAATCCCATGCATACTTCGGTACGTAATCGGGTTTAGCGCCGGACATGACGTACCACGTGTACTTGACACCCGGATTCTCTCTCGGGCGAAAGAACGTATACTGAACTCAAGTGAAATGAAACAAAATTTTTTTAATTCAGTCACTGACGAAAATAAAATGATCTCTAAATATGCAGCATTCATTACCATGAGTTCGATGTTTTCTACAAGTGGTCCTTTTATGTCAATTTCTTCACGATCTCCTTCAGGATGAGTGTACATCAATGATGTACCACCACAGTCGTACTCACCATTCTTTTGCTCTTTGCTGTAAGCAGAAAATGATACGCACATCTGTACCAAGTCCAAGAAAAAATCACAGATCATTATTTCACGATAAGAATATTTTTACTGATTAGCATTTAAACAAAATGTGGCGTCCTTTTCTGTCCGCAATGCAAGTGTATTCTCACATGATGCCTTCTCTACTATGCGAATACTTCGGGCACCTTTCGGAATTGTTATCACTGGTTGGTAATCTTTTAAAAAAAAAGGCCGAAGCGTTAGAAAAAGTGATGTAAATGGCGAGGACATTTTGAAACACATCCTACAGAGAATTTACCCTTGAGTTGCGTCTTAGTATATTCTCCCTCCACAGGACTGCACTGGGTACCATCGCCCTTGCAAACACCACACTTGTCTTCTATTGCATCAGAATCTAATTGCCAATCACATCCAACTTTCTGGGAAAACGGTAAAAAAAAAAACAATTTCCTGTCAATTTTATTGGCTTCGAGATGGATGCCGCGGTTATTTTCCGCATTGCGGCAAAGATATCTGAAGATCGGCTTTATATACTCTCCTCAGGTGGCAGTGGGGAAAATATGATTATTTATATGATTTCAAGGACATGTTATTCTACCGCCTGTACATGTCTATTCGAGGAATTCATTTCTCTTTATCACATAATAAAATATAGTAAGATCTTACTCTGCATGATCCAGAAATGCACATATAATTGGTTCCTGCTTTGCAGGGTGTTGCATCTTTAGTTGTTGGCGCTAATTTAACGAAAGTATTCCTCTCATTCATACAGTATAATGCACACATGTCAATATCATCTCTGTAAAAGGGTTTCCACCGATGCAATCCATCAGTCAAAATTGGCTTTGTGTCGAACTCAGAACATTGGATAGCTCGAAAATTTGGTGTGTATGGATCGCACGGCTGAAAAACGCATCCCAGATTTCACTAAATAAATCGCGTTAAAAATTACCGAGTAAAATTTCCAGCCATAAAAAACCTTCTCAGCAAATCTTCATAAAAATGTAAAATTTCGTCTTACCGAAGTATTACATATTGTAATTTTTTTTCTTTCTCCAATGCAGTATCTGCCACCGTTTGAGGGTGGAGGTTTATTACATTCGCGTTCAGTGACCTTTACACCACCACCGCAGGTTCTCGAACACGCACTTTGCGAACCCCAATCACCCCATCCACCGTGCACAGACGCTGGTCTTGAGCCCATGTCAACGCATTTTTTTTTTATACACCACTTATTTTCCGCACACTTAGTACCTTCTGCTGGAGGTGCATTTCTTGAGAAACAGGTAGTGCCATTTTTGCACCACAACTGCTCACAGTTCAAGCCCTAATAACGTAGATGCTGTCAGGGTGGTCAAATCGAAAGCAAAAATTTGAGAAAATGATGACTCCCTTTCCCCCATCCGTACCTGCCCCCGTTCGCAGAGAACTGATGTTTTTTCATCAAGGCTGCATTGAAAATTCGCATCATACATTGCTCCCGGAAGCATATCAGGAAGTTTATACTTTGCTGGTGGATTTCTTGGGTCATTGTTCAAGCATTCTCCTAAACCACTCCTAATAAAGCATCCCACACAACATTACCCTTCATAATTATTAATTTATCGGTAAAAAATTATATTTTACTCAAGCAAGTTCGTTATGAACTTTCGGCTACACGTGGACCATCGCAGTGTGTAAATGAAGACGATGGGAGACATAAGGAAGTAACTTTGATCTTTATCCTGGGGAGAACACCCACTGACATTTTCTTCATCATGTGAGCAGCCCATTCTAAAAATGTGAGTATTAATGTGCGGTTGAAATTGTTTTGTTTCCCATATTTTCCATGGAATAAAAATAATGACAGGTGATATGGTAACATTTTCGTTCGACATGTAATGAATATCTATGCACGAAGGAATATACATACACATGACCAATTTCGTGAGCTGTCACAATTCCAAGGAGAAGACCCGAGTCTTCATTGATGGCTGCCGCTTTCGGAGGATCGCACGCGGCCGCGACATACGCTAATCCCATCAAAGTGCACCCAGACTCCTCAGAGCATATATCATGGCTTAAATAATTTTAATTCATTCCATAAAATTGAGTTACTCATTAGAGGAAAATTTTCTCAGTTATATTTTTATTACCGGGTAATGAGAACTGATATATCGAAATGATTTGGATGGGTGCGGTCTTTTGGATTCATTTTTTCTGACCAAGCTGCGAAACTCTCGAGTGTTTTCTCTGCTTTTGGTGAAATCGACAAGTCAATCTAAACGTGTCATTAGTGGAATAATTTAATTATTACACTATTCTGAATCGATGGGTATTTTAAAATAATATGAAAACCTCTTTCTTTTCAGCTTCAAGATAAGTTATCTTTACAACAACGACGTCGATTTGATTGCCCACAGAAGAATCATGATAGAAATCGGAGACCATATTCATAATCGTGAGTAAATACTTCTCATAATCGCTCCCCGCATAAAAATCGAGGAATTTTTTATCCGCAACAACTCCCAGCTCAATGAAACGATGAATACTGTGCGTCCCGGAATTTAGATTCTTCGTATCAGCACGTTTCAATGATTTTGAATTACCAACTTCCAGGGAACGTTGATTCTTCTTGACCAGTTGCTCCGCCCACGCAGATCTCCAGTCATCTACATTTTTATAAAGCACCTCAAAGTCATGCTCTCATGGTATACAAAAAAAATAAAATGAAGTTAATATGAAAATAAAACTGGACCCCCAGTTCCGCAGAAATGCTCTGGCGAATCCTTTTCATGTGGCGCTTGGTTTTTGTAAATCATGTGCACATGCTGACCGTCATTTCCCGGCTTTGATTCACTCATTGGCTCGATGAAATATCTTCCATGATCCGTCTGAATATATCCAGCCTGCAGCGAACAAATTAAAATTACCCCCGCTTCATTTATTAATCATCCGAGGAAAACGTTCATGTGAAATACACACCACTCCATCACAGAAGGACAATGCAGCCCGGGAGTGTGAATGGCCCCTCACAAAACCTCTGTAATGACACTGATTTTCTGATACCCTTTTGAACCTCAGTCTTGCATTCAAGTCGTTAACTGGCCCGTCGCCCCTCGTCTCAATAACCATTTCCGGTGAAATGAATTCATGATATGGCATCAACTCAACATGATGATCAGCTCCATGAAAAGGCAGCATTAAATGTAACTTATCCACACTTGAATCTATAGATCTTTTTTTTCTCTCAGTCACTTCAGCACGATTATAAAAATGTGGTAATGAAAATGTGTTGAAACTTCCGTCTTCATTGACACGTCTTGGCACAAGTAAATCTGGCTTTCGAATATTTCGGGTATATCTATAAGAATTCATTGAACATTTGTGATCTTATTGAGCCGCGAAATATGAAGAGCCACGAATTTCATTTATTGCACATTATAAAGTGAGCTCTCACCGGCCGTGATATATATAATTCATCTCATCTCCATCAGTGCCCAATGGACTGCATTTTATCACGCTAATACTCCAGAGAAGCCTCAAAAGATATCCAGCGGACGCCATGACACTTTCAGCCGATGCAAAACAAAGAAATCTTGTGGCTTGAAATTTTTTGTTAGCTGGTATGCCATTAAGTAATATTTCTGGAGCGACTGAGAAAATTTTCCAAGACTATCTAACCATATATATGATATCTCCATATTTACGATCCACCATCCATCATCTTTTTTTTATCATATTCTCAATTTCTAGAATGCCTCCAAGTCGGTTCCGAGGAGAATAATCGACGAATGTGGAGACGTCATACCACTGGCCGATACGTCGGTTATGAGCTCTTCCCAGCCAACGGTAAATAATGAAAAATCATCGTTTGCGATAAATATACGAAACTAGTAGAGTGCTAAAATGCATCCAACGATATCTGCCTTTTGGTGTCTCGTCTAAAATGAAATTAAATGAAAAATGAAATACACCTTAATCATTGGATCTGTCGCATTAATCAACCAGAAATTTCTAGGGAACCTGAGAAACAGGGGTTGCGTTGCGTACTCCTGAAAATATCCTCACCGATCAATCACTACCTTGAAGGTGAAGGCGCAGATTCAAAGACAGGGAATAAACGGAGAGGAAAATTTGTAGATGAATGAGTACGCAATAATAGAACCCGAAGTCATCAGAATTTTCAATTATGTCAATTTAAATTTAATTTATAATCGCGTGAAAATTGAGCATCAAGTTGAACTGAATTTTCCATAAATTGAAAATTCAGGGAAATTATTTCTGGAATTTGAAATATTGTCACGGTTTTTCAGTGCCCTATAGAAGTGAAAGTAGAGAATGACCAGAACATTTGAGGAATGAAATGATTGGTCAATGAAGAATTGTTTTTTAATATTTTTTTCACGTAAAATATCAAGTTTAATTTTCCGAGAGTGTAGATAATAGGCAGTAGGGGCTGTATCCTGTGCTAAACCATTCTCTTGTTCAGCCAGGGGTCAGCAATGGATGTAGCGAGCAAATACAAGACTTGCGCAATGAGGTGGGAGGGGAAGTTTTCCGAGGGGTTGACAACGAGGGCCTGTAGAGCTTTTAGACGACGTGACTGGCTTGGCAGATTCGTCGTGATCTCTCAAGTCATATCATCCTTTGCTCGTTCATTAATTCTGTACACCGAGCTTCAACCCAGCAGATCGCTAATGAATCATGAGAAAAATATATCTCTTATGATTCGCAACGCAAATGAAATTTAGTGTTCCGAAAGACTAACGTGATTATGTGGGTAACGAACAAACAAAAAATGAATAATTTCAAATTCTCAAGGTGAAATCAGTATTGGCTGTGTTCAATTCCAATTACTGTATGCGTTTATTATTGAGGCTTATGGAAATGCATTGATTATTGGTACATACTATTTGCAACTGTCGAACTAAATTCATAAAAAAATTAATTGACCAATGAACAATCTTTACTCACGTTGAAGTATATGGGATTAAATTTTCGGTGAAAGTGAGTGCAAGATGTTATTTATGAAAATACAGGGCATTTAAGGTAATGATAATGATAATCTCCACGCAGTTTCACTCTTTCTCGTTTTTCATACAAAAATCATAAAATATTGGAATGAATTGCTTGGCTTATTTATTTAAAGTGATCACCTCCACTCATGGTTTGTAAAATGGAGAAAATTTGAATTAACATGATTGTCAGACTAACGAAATAGCTTTGCGTGTGGCATTTTATTTCCTTCTCGAAATTTTGCTCTCACCTGTAGCTTAAATCTAGAGGGAATACACAGGCCGAGAGACAATACTATCGAATCGGGATGTCATCTCATATATCTCCTCATACATTGAGAATCACACATAGTAAATTCAATTCTTTATTTTGAAAATTTTTTTTTTTCATTCTGGTAAATGACGGATTGATTCATTTTTTTTTCCAGGGTGTATCCCCTAGTTTCATTGAGTACCTGTTGTCAATCTCATTCAAGAGACTGTATTTGCAATTCAATTATCATTTTTATATACAAGTACAGTCTAAAAAAATTATTATAGTAACTTGAAGTGATCATCATGCTCAGTCCGAAAATGCAGAAAACTGGTGAGATTTTTTTCTGTCAGAAGAACTCATTGAAAAACGTGGAATAATGATTGAGTTTTGATTCTTGATTTTTTCTCAGTGAGAGTCAATGATTCACAAATATTGATGTTATCTGAGAGAGCCCATTTCGATCATTCCTTGACTGGTTATTTACATAAACGTACCGCTGACCTAAACAAATGGCAACTTCGGTGGTTCGTACTATATCAGGTAAGTGTTGAGAAAGCTTTTTATTTCATCAGCAAATGTCGGATATAGACACCATGTGTTGGACCATGCTAAAAATAAACCCAACATTCTTATTGGTTGGATTAACTTATTTCAGTCAGTCAATTTCCATTCGTTTAATCGAGAATTATGGTCCCTTATTTTTTTTTCCCTGTAGAATTTGTTATTCTATTACGAGAGCGAAGCATTTTCTCGACCCAGTGGCGTTATATTACTAGAAGGATGTTACTGTGATCGTCTCATTACAACACGTGGAAAGGAATTAGATAAACAGGTAGGATTATAATGTATTAGGGTATTTGGTGTAGGGAGCAGTTGTGGTTCACTGGAAATTCTCAATTCGGAATATTATTTTTTCAGCATTGCTTCGCGATATCTTACAGGCGTGAAAATCAACGGCAATATGAGTTAAGAACAGCTTCCGAGTCAGACTGCAAAATGTGGATTGACGCAATAAGGGAAGCTAGGTGAATTTTATTAGATAGTTATTGATTGTATTGGATTGATTCAGTCTCGTGCAAACCGATGAAACTTCGATAATCAGCGAAATTACGCTAATCTTTAAAGTTTGATCATGAGACCGAATATTTTCCTATACAGATTAATCATTAATGCAGCATTCTTGTTTTCACAGTTTCAACAAGTTATTACTTCAGAAAGAGGAACTAGAGCAAAAACATCTGCACTTGTTGCAAATCGTAGAGAGCGAGAAAACAGCTAAATGGCAGTACACACAGCAATGTGAGGAGTTGGCATCGGAAATAAAGAAACTTCGGACTGAGGTATGTTGCTCGAGTAGCCGAAATAATGTTGAGTCTTCACAACATATCGACTACCAAAAGAGAAAAGTCCCCTTGTTTGCCACTCGTTTACCAAGAGTTCCAAACCAAAGAGAGCTAAATTCGAGAATATGAAAAACTTCTTAATCATGACGATCTATTCATTGAGCAAACTTATACTCCTCTGTTCAGCTATGCGCTTTGAAACGGGAACTTCGGCCAAGCTCAGTGACCTCATTGATTTGTGCAGAGCATGGGATGCAGCAACGGACTATATCCCAAATTGGCTGTCCCATCGGCGTGGCATCCTCTCATTCAGCTTCCTTCGGTGCATATGATTCTAATGCCCATAGCACTGGTCTTCACAGCGGAGCTAAAGGTATCACGGAGAGATCAAGCGATATAGAAAAAATAAAGAAAGTTCAGAGTTTTTTTCGCGGATGGCTGTGCCGGCGCAGATGGAAGCAGATCGTTGAACAATACATCAAAAGTCCTCACGCGGAAAGTATGCGCAAAAGGAATAGGTTTGTGATAATCCACTACCTCATTATATACCCCAATAAATGTACCAACGAATTTGGAAATGATTATGCATAAAGCATTTGCATGGTATGACCGTTGACAGAAGTTATTTCTTAATATATTCATAATATGTGAACGTAAATAGTTGAAACTGTAAATATGTTCTATCTTGAGAATTTATTTTGAAAAAGAGACCTCGAGAGTGAGTGTACAGATGGATACACAATAATGTTTTATTTTAATGTTGAGTCCTCTCCCATAAAATGCACCGGAAATTATTGTTGGGATGCTCAGCCGAGAGCGATTCGCCATGTCCCGGTTTTGCCGTCTTTCAGGTCTTTCAGGCCTTGCGTGCTTTCCTGCGGGAGGACCCCATGATGGTTTCAGCGGCTATCTGTCCTGGACCACTTCTTCTATTTACTTATTTTCGGTACTGTCTCCCTATTATGCTATTTTCCTTTCTCTTCATACATTAAGACCTCTTCGTTATTCTTGCTTGAGCTTTCCGCTACTTGCATTGTATTTTCTATTTTTATTTTCAAGCTTGTCTCAATTCTATCTCGCTTCACAATTCACGTACCTATTTATTTAATTAATTTGCTTGTACCTCCTCTGTGTATTGCAACATGAATTTCTTTCATCTTTTCTCTGAACAATGCCGCGAATCAACAAAATGGAACAAAGAACAAAAATATTCCGGTTTTTTGTCGATTTAGTGGGCTTGAATGCAATAAAAAATTAATTATTCATCCGAAAATCTCTTGCAAATTTTTATATTGAGAATATATTTCAGTTTGGTATTTCAAATGGTCGAAGCAGAGGAAGAGTACATGGAACAGATCGACACCCTTGTGACTTGTTTCTTGAGACCATTCAAAATGGCGGCGAGCTCCAAAAAACCGCCATGCAGTCATGAAGATGTGAATAGCATCTTTCTAAATAGTGAGACTGTATTATTCCTACATCAGATATTTCTCAAGGGTCTAACCTCACGTTTAGAGAGTTGGCCAACATTGATACTCGGTGAGTATTGTTGTTCATTGTTTTCTCCATCTCCCCAGGATGACGGCATGAAATGAATGATTCTCAAATTCATCGAATATTTCAGGTGATTTGTTCGACATGCTGCTACCAATGTTATCGATTTATCAGGAGTATGTGAGAAATCATCACTATAGTCTTCATGTATTGACAGAATGCAAGCAATCTTCAGCGTCATTCGCAGCACTTTTAACTCGACTTGAGAGTAAAACAGCTTGTCGCGGCAGATCTTTGGAGACATTTCTCACTTACCCGATGCGTCAGGTAATTCGATTCAATCAGCTGACAATGTAATATAATCTTTTCCATTTGAATTTAAATTTTGTAATGATGACTTTATCAATATTGAGTTTTCCCGCAATTTTCTCAATTTCAAATTCAGGTACCACGATACATAGCCACGCTTCATGACGTATTGGCACATACACCTCATGATCATGTAGAACGGAAAAGTTTACAAAATGCTCGTCAGCAATTAGAAGATTTATCGCGACAAATGCACGATGAGGTAAATTTTTCTTTTTCCCCCACAATCTTCATTTCATACCGGTCGTTCCCTGATCCCATTCATGATTAAAAGAAAAAAGATTATTCTGTTCGTACTCACCAGGTTAGTGAAACTGAAAATTTACGCAAGAATTTGGCCATTGAGAGAATGATTGTCGAAGGCTGTGATATTCTGTTGGATGTTAATCAAGTTTTTGTGAGACAAGGCACACTCATACAAATGGTAGATAAACCTCGGGGTGTACGTAGTAAACTCAGCTCGACATTTGGTAGCAAGACTGGCGGCGATAGAGAAGCACTGAGACAATGTTTTTTATTTTCTAATCATCTTATATTGACGACACGCCAATCTGACGATGATGGCCGACTCAGCCTCGTTCCAGCAATTGGTAAAATTCCACTTTCTGATGCTATACTCATAGAAGATCCAAGTGACTCTAGTGCCACTAATGATGATGGTAAATAGAATTTCGTCGAATGAAATGAAAGCGATGACGACCTGCCTATTGCTATTTTAAAAACGTTTTACAGAATTATCAGTATGCTCTATGTCAAGTGGAATTAGTGAGAGCAGCGGAAGTGGAAGTGGAAGTAGTGGTACATTACATGGTAATCGAGATTTCAAAATTACATTCGATATGAAATCCGGTGGACCTCCAATATCCGTTCATCTCGTAACTACGACAATGCAGGCAAATGAAAAGTTTTTATTCGTTGGGACTGTGCGCAATGTTAATTGACGAAATTATAAAAGACTAATGGCTATTTTTAACTGCAGGAAAAAGCAGCGTGGATCAGTGACATAAGTCAATGCATGGATAATGTACACTTCAATGACCTGTTACATGGCTCATTATCGGATACGAGTTCCGTGACGATGCCGCAATCGGTCAAAAATGACCCCCAATTATTCAAAGACGATATAGATATCAGATTTAGTCGTACTTTGAATTCATGTAAATTACCTCAAATTAGATACGCAACACCAGAAAGATTACTACAGCGGTTAACTGACTTGAGGTTCCTCAGTATTGATTTTCTGAATACTTTTTTACTTACATATCGAGTCTTTACAGATGGTGTCACTGTTCTCCAAGCTCTCAAAAAAGTTTTTTATGAACCTGAGCCACCAGACGGACAAATGCCCAGTGGGTCATTGGTGTGAGTATCCCACTCGTTTGGTTCACATATGAAACCAAATTACTTCATATTACAATAATCAAAGGGACTCATAGATTCGTTAGTGATTATTTGTTTCATGCAGATCGTTGGACGGTCTTACAAGTATGATGGGCGAAGGATTCCTGCACATTGATGACAGAAGAAGAAGCAGCCTCTCACCTCGGAGAACAAGTGGAGCAAGTTCTGTGTCGGGTATGAAAAAATAACTTTCCAATCAATGAAATATATATTGAGGTATTTTTTATAAGCAAACCATATGTGGTGAATAAATTGTATCCTGAATTATTCAGGATATGGTTCAGAGGTTAGTGATTGTCGAGAGACAAGAAATCAACACAATTGTGATTTATTTGCGGGCGCGCAGATTGCAAGCTCAAAGGGTAATTGGCGTGCTGGTTATCCTAAATGTGAGTTCCGATAAATAAATAATTGCATATTATCCTTATTATTTTCTCCATTACGACTTTACATCGATTTCAAAAATCTTTTATGGACTTTAATACAGTGGAGAAGGAGCATGCACTAGGTTTCGTTTCTGAACTACCTCCGATCATCAAACAAAGTCCAACATTGCAATTGCCAGGGACATCCTCTGGGAAACAATCCCCCAAAGAGAGTAAAAACGTCAGTATCAAGCAGCAGGACTTGGAGGAAGATGGTAGTCATCTGACAATTCCAAAAGTTATAAAGGGATCATCAAGTTCGGAAACGCTTACCGGTGGTAATATGGAAAAATTTTTTCAAAATATTACTGAATTATCATTCATTCACTGGAATATAGGAGCCCATTAATTGCAGATATTCCTGCATCCAGTTCACCATCGTCACCGAGTAACTTGAGCTCAGTGACCTTAATAGGATCAACAGGTTCTGGATCAGGGTCTGCAACGGACCTTGGTCCTCAAGATCGTAATATAATATATCCAAGAACGGCGGCACATCAACAAGATGACGTAGCTATCTCGGAGATTAATTCCAAATTCGGTGAATTGAATCGTTATTGCATCTTTTATTTTATTTCTTTCTTTCATCTATTCATTGTTCACTTGAATGAAGAACAATGGAAAGCGTGGAATGATGTTCAGGTTTTGAGGAATAATCCTCATTAATATTTTTCGAAATGTAAATCAGATACACATTTTGGATATGACGACTATCCACCGACATCTCCCATGTCAACAAGATCAACTGCCCTATCAATGTCAACGAGATCGTCAAATACTCAGAGGCAAAATTCAGACAAAGATGACGCATGGATAGTTGATGAGTGTACTCCACCTACTGATTTTTCTTTCTATTTCAACCAAAACCGGAAATGCTCCGAGCAACATCGTGCTTCAGTCGTTTCTGCTCCGCCATCTTCAATGAGATGTAGTTCTATTACAACAGGGGTAAGAATAATACTCTAATATACACTTCAACGTTGATATATGTTATTCTCAGATATCGAACCATGAGAAATATTGAACTTTCAGAACTATTGGTCCGGCAGAAGATCTATTCAGGAAGGTGAAATGAAACAACCCTATTATTTTCAACACGATACCTCACGAATACCAACCAAAGCCGGAGTTGTTATAACGAGTTCAAGACAGAGCCATCGGAGGTAAATATGGCAAGTGGAAATAGTTTAGTAATAATAAATTGGGAATTATTTTTTTCCGTGAATTTAGGAGCAGTACTTCGACGGCGGCGACAGCTTTCGCCATTGCTACATCGGGCTCCAGCAACCCACCCGACAAACCTTCTGATTATTCAGATGAGAGTAATCGAAGTGGTTCATGTCGAGATCACAATAAGCGCAGAGAAACCGTCTCAACTGCTGCTACAATGCGGGTGTTGAATGTATTGAGGCATTGGGTCTCCAAACATTTTCAGGACTTTGAATTCAATCATCAATTGAAGAATTTGACCATTGAATTTTTGGATGATATTGTTGGAAGTCCAAATCTGTTACCGGCAGAACATAAAGCTGCAAGTCAATTATTAAGATTCATTAGCAAGGAAGAGCAAGAGCATAGAAAAATTTCGCTGCATGCGCTTCTAGCGACTCCATCAGTACGTATTCCACCTGTAATGAGCTGAATGCGCTTACTGAGTCAAAACAGAAATGTTGCCATAGATCGTAGATGATCTGAAAATGACACAATAACCTTTGAATTCTCATCTCTTTTCAGATTCAGAGTAAAGAATGTATTGAAACTCTCTCAGCATTAGAAATTGCTGAGCAAATGACGTTCCTGGATCATAAAATTTTTGTATCTATATCGAGCGAGTGAGTACATTGATAAAATTAATTTTAGTACGCCCTCAATAAACACTGAATATTAATAATGATGACATTGTTCTGGTTTTGTTATTGTGTCCATCAGGGAATTTCTCGGTCAAGCATGGATGAAAACGAATAAAACTTCACGAGCGCCGCACATTATTCTCATGACGAAGAGATTCAATGAAGTATCACAATTAATAGTATCGGAGATTGTTCGTCGATCCAACATATCAGCCAGGGTAGCTGCCATTGAAAAGTGGGCAGCAGTTGCTGATATTTGCCGTGTACTTCATAATTATAATGGTGTTCTGCAAATATGCGCTGCATTCACGAACAGTAGCGTTTATAGATTAAAAAAAACATGGGAGAAAGTTTCTAAAACGACAAAACAGACTATAGAGCGGCTTCAGATTATCGTTTCATCAGACGGACGATTTAGAAATTTGAGAGATGCGTTACACCGATGTGATCCACCTTGTATCCCATACTTGGGACTATATTTGACGGATTTATCATTTATCGAAGAGGGCAGACCGAATTTCACCGAAGACGGGCTTTTGAATTTTTCAAAAATGCGAATGATTTCTCACGTAATTCGAGAGATTCGCCGCTTTCAGCAGACCCCGTACAAAATCGAACACATATCCAAAGTGACAAACTATCTATTGGATGTTACCCTTCTCCTCGACGAGGAAGCACTCTATCATATGTCATTAGAAATAGAACCGCGAACATCAAGGCTCAGCAATGCAGCTGTAATTGATCTTCCACCAGTTGGTCAAATTTCCTTAAAACGAGAGAACTAAAAAGTTACTCAGTATTATATTGATAAATTAGATATAAAAACCATTCTTGGTGTGTTTAACGGGATACTGAAAAGAACCATATAAATTATTTCCAAATTCAGAGCATTTATTCAAATGTTAAGTTTAGTCTTATTGGAGTTATATCTTCACATTATATAGGAGTGTGTCAAATGAAAAATTATTTGCAGGCCATATTCAAATAATTAAAATAAAATTTTCTATAGGTTAATAATAATAGGGACAATCGGTTTCCATGTTAAAATCGCCCAAAGGGTTACATTGAGTTACTGAATTGAAAATTTATATATGAACCAATGAATGATTAGACACAAATGACTATTTATTTTCAATTTTCAAGAAGATGAAAAAACATATCACGATTATGTGGAAAAAATCGATCGAAAAATTCAATGGTTTAGGTGTATTACTGTTTTTACATGGGAATTGCACAAGTATTCAGATAAATGTATTAATCGGATACTTGCGTGATATTCACCATCAAAATTATGTGATTCCCAAAATTCTGTCTCTTGATATTTGAAATATGAGTAAAGGTGTAAAGACATAACTAGAAAAATTCGACGTCTAAGTGCTCTTGTAGATTGCAATTGAGCTCAGGACAGAGCGGGCTAGCTCTGATCACATAAGACTCCGATGTTGGTCCCCGACCAACATATTATCCGAGAAAGTATTCGTAGTCATGTGGCACTTTCACTTTGATCTTGCTTCGATAATTTCCCTGCTGGCAGGGGAACCATCAGAGCCAATATTTCCCTCCTAGCTTCTCAATTATTTTCCAATTGTTATCAATCGTAAATTCACGTCCAGAAGTTGATGATTGATTTTTATCCAAACAGGCTAGTTATTCCTAGAAGGTGTCACGAGAGTACGAGCACTGCCGATCGATTGCACGGCAATACGAGTAAGGAAAATAATTTACCGAATGTCTCTTCGACCCTCAAAAATAATTACATATATTCCGGATGTTCCTGCAAATTCTAATAATTTTAATGTTCTTGGAGTGTAATATTTTAATACTGATCGATCCTCAAAAAATCTCAGGAAATATCTACTACATTTAACTTATTTATCAATATTTAAAGAAAAACAAAATTCTGACTCTCAAGAATTGAGAATATTTCATCTTTTCTTCGATTTCAATGTTCTGTGCGTCTACATAATCAATGATCACAGAACAGCTAGTTTATATTGATTATGACTATACGATTAATGAATTGTGATCCAACAACTCAAGATATCCTCTCTTCATATTTCACGAATTCATGGCTCAATTCTCAGTACTATCAGACAGTACTCCTTTATTGAATAACAATTATACTCGTTGGAAAAATCAGACATAAAATCTGACACTAGTCACAATTGTAATTGACAATCAATAATATAACATAAGAATAATGAATGGTGTTTTTATTTGCTCGACCCATTATCGAAATATCAATCAATATTTAATAACCTGTTAATATGCAGTTGGAAGAAGAGAGGACTGCAGGTGACGGATTCACCAGGAATTTCTTCACATAATTAATATCAACAGCTGATTTTCTTTTCACAAGTAATTAATTATTTCATTTGTCTTCATATCTCCATTATGAATTCTGATACAATCGGATTCAATAAAATCAGTGTACTTTGTTATATATACATTCATATTACTTTATGCTTTAACATTCGCACATAATGAATATCTCGTATTTTCTATATGATGATGTTTACAACTATGATATAACTAACAATTGATTTTCATACGCTCGTCTTCTTCAGCACAATACTGACATTCATTATTCATTTTACCACAATGTTCGTATAATCCATCTGTTTCTTTGAAAAACTCCTCATGTCGTAAACGAGTCACTCACTAATGGGCATAGTTTAGTTAACATTAATCTTTCCTCATCTCGAGAGGAATATATAATTACTTTGTGCTCGAATTTTTGTCGCTTTAATTTTCGCTTCTTTTCTTTCATTTTTTTCTTTTACTAAAAAAAAATGCAGACCCTAACTTTGCCGCTCTTTGCGTTACCCAGGACAACACAGGAATGACATTCTCAAAAAATTCATAGATTTTTCTCACCGTGTACTATAGGCTGGATTGAAAGGTCTTTCCAAATGTGGTCATGCAGAGTTGGATTATCCTCAGTATAAATGTACCATACATTAACCGTCGTATTTTCTTTGACAGAGTATTTTTTTGTCATAACGATGGAGGTGACAAATTACTTTGAATGCTTTGAATTTTTTCGTTTTTTTTCGTCTATTTTGCACCATCGGGAGACACTGTGAAATGATTCCTGAATAATATTTTTCTACAATGTTGTGTTCTTAAGACTTTTTTTTCTACACGTGAGCGAGTTAAACTGCCTTGAATATATTGTTTACAACTCGTTTTCATGAAAGGGTTGATCCATCGTATATTTCTACACGGTTTGTGAGAGAGGACAAAATGAAAGAAAGCAAAGGGGCACACACGGTGACGCACTACGAAGCTCAGATTCGATCAATTTACCGATAGTCACGTACATGTACTATATCATTTTTCTTATGTGTGATTAGTTACTTATGTAACTCCGCCCAGTATGTCTGCATAATACTTATCAAGATAGTACTTCTAACATATACTACCTATCCATATTCACAATGAAGTCAGCATGTTAGGCAATTTTATATTTATTAACATAACAGTGTTGTTTTCGTTTATGTATTTCATTTTTTCATTTTCCACCTTCTCTTTATCAGTCACGCTGGCAGGGTCTCAATATATTTACTCGGGACATGAAAAGTTCATATACTACGAATATTTTTTTTACTTGCTTCAGAGAAAAATATATATAATCTTTCATAATGTGTCATTTCCTGTATTAAATAAATTTCATTCATACGTTTTTCTTTCATTCGCTCACTCCTGATTTTTCTCATATATGAGGAAGACAACATAACATCGCGTGAGAAGAGTTTATGGTGAAGAACATATGATATCTCACTAATGCTTTCAAACATTGGATTATACGTAAGATGATTGAATGATGAATTTTCCTCAAATAAAATATTTTTCTTACAATTAAAATATACAAATAAATATCAAATAGATCGTTACTGCTGAGATAAATGAAGTACGATTTATGTATTTGAAAGTTATTCCAATGATCAGTCTTTCTATCGATTCTTGGTTCTTGCAAAATATCACAACTGAGTAAAATTATGTGAAAACCATTTGTTTCACTCTTTTCAGCAAACACGAAAGTGAAAAACATTTCTTCCCGTTTACTAAGTTGAAATTAATGAATTTAAACATGAATAACCTTATCGTTCTCCTTTTTTTTTATCACAATGCTATCTATATCACTAAAATTTTCATAATTATTTCAGCACCACATAATAATAATATATTTTTCATTTATTTAAAAAAATTAACAGTTTTGAAAAGGTTTGAATAAAATCATATAAGATTAATATGTCAGCGCTATGTAAGCAATATATACATTATTATTTTCTTCGTTACCACTTACAAACTGCTCTAAGTTAATGGATACGTTAATGGATATGTGAAGTAATATCAGAAAGGTAATTGAGAATGAAAAAAACGGTGATGTTATAAAATTATTGCTTCATCTGGACCTGCAAGGTGGATGGTAAATTACTGAAGTGAAATATTCCTAACCAATAAAAACGTCAAGGAATAATTGTTAATGGAATCAAGTTCACTCTCATTATCATTGAACGATTATTCACGACTAACATTTGGAATATTGGCATATGGATTTAGTTCGGAATTCATTTGATCATATATCCGGTATATTTAAGATTGATCATTTGGTCAAATTCTCAATAAAATGTAATGTTTTCTACGTGTCTCGAAGCGATGAATCATTCCAAGCTCAATGTTTCAATGATCAGGCTGTACAAAAAAATTAAGAAGCTAATGCATACAAACAGAATTGACATATATTGACAAGCACAACTCGGTGGCTATTCTCACTAATTTCTGAATAGTGGATCATTTCCCCAAGATTGATTGGCGAGTGGGATTCACAATGAGCTATCCCATGTACTACTTCGTGTACTGGTAGTCGATGGTTACTATACAGAATGATTGAAAGCAACAGTGATTTCAAAGTCTTTTTACCAGTCTGTTATATTAGAAATGTAAAAAGAAATAAAACCTTGACTTGATTTACTTTACTGATCGCTGGTTGTACACATCGCCACATAAAATAGATATACACCATCTCATCTGAAAATAAGTGTCCATTCCACTAGCATCAAGCTTTAGTGTTTGACTGTAACGAATTAACTGACCATCATTTATGTTAGCTACTGGAAAAATATCAGTGATCAAGTATGATATAGGGATACTAATCTTCATATTCTCTATTAAAATTAGTTGTTACTTGGTATGAACTATCGTTTATAGCAGTAAATCGACCTCTAAAGTGATAGATCTATAGAATTTCCAAACATCGTAACGATATAAAGTTGAAAGTATTAATTTCCCATAAATTCATTCATTATCAGCCAAATATATATTTCGATTGAAATAATTTCTCATTAAAACATATCCTATTTATCGGTAACTTAATCAACATATACCAAATCAACAATGTGATATAAATATCATTGCCCTCGGATATATTCTGGATCGGATCTCATATTTGTGAAGATGCAAACGGCAGTGTTTGCGAATCATCGAGAGAACATTGAAACAAAACGCGGCAATCACCCGGAAGCCAATGATATTAATAATCATGCCCGCGCACGCCTCAAAACTATAATAGAAGATATAAGAATATTTACAGTAACATTATCGCTTATGAATTATTGGTATTATTTGTATCAGATATTCTCATTCGGAGAGATTAATTTATCAACATTGGCTCAATGATCCGTACCTTCGATATTACACGGTATCGTAAACAATCAGAGACCAATATTTCGTTTCTTTCATAATGAGATCGAGATCATGGGTAAAATTTCATGAACTTGCTGCTTACGAGGTGTTGGAAATGGGGGAGAAAAATTATTTCAATGAGGGCAGGTAATCACCATTTACAGTTGCAGGATTGAAAAAATGCTTACTGATTATAATCGACCAGTCATCTTACCAATGATCCACAATAAAGTAACAGCAGCACCAACGCTAATGTTGGCGTTGTCGCCCTACGATTACTCGAATTACCATGCTGCATTGCTGCTGGATGCTCACCTGAAATAGAAATGGCAATTGTTCGATAATTTTTCGGCTGAGCAAACGAAGAAACATAAATGTGATAATAATGAAGAGCTGTAGGATTTTGCTAACCATTGAGCACGTGTACCAGGACACTGGCAGATTCGGCTGTTGACGGTGCACAGGTATAATTACCCGCATCGGCTGGAAGCGCTCGTGATATCAACAAACGGGAGGTTCTCGTTTGTTTCTCTGTCACAACGCTTATTCCACCACGTTGGCTGTAATTTATGACGTGATCACCTCTGTACCTTTGAGAAAACACTTTTTTATTCTTTAACCACCAATTCAATCCTCCCAAATGATAAAACACGACATTAATACTAGGTCACATGAATTTTTCATTCAAAAACTCAGTTTTTCTAAAATCCCAGAATTAATTCAACTTACCAGTAAATGAAGGACGGTGGTTCAGGTGTCTGAAGTACTGTGCAAGTAAGATTTATATCACTTCCACTCTTGATATATAATTCTGCATTACCCGAAATTTCCGCTTTGGATACTGATAAAAAAAAACAATATGAAATTCGGCATCATCACTTTTACGATATAATGTGCATTTTACTAACCAACCACACTCAATTTGTAGGCCTGACTAATTTTTGGTTCCGTTGACACCTGGCACTCATATGTTCCACTATCCCGTACCTGAGGTGACGTTACTTTTAATGTCCATTCGTCACTACCGTCGCTATGCATCGCTTGAAATCGTTGATCATTGGTGTATGTCAATATACCAACAGTCAGGATGTGCAGATCTCTCTTGCGAATCCACGATACCTGAACAATATAAGTTCCTTATTCAATTAATTTTCGTTTTATGATGCCCATACTCATTCGTGAATGAACTCGAGAAAATTTTTAATGCAAGCAAAGATAGTGAAGGACGTATATGGTGAACCTACAGCACGATCCCCAAGATTGCGAACTCGGCAATAAAGATAAGCTGATTGTCCAACCGTGGTTGTTGTTTCTCGTTTTGTCGTATTATCAAAATACGGTTGACTAAATGGTTGTTCCCAATAAGAACTTGGATGGTGTTCTACAACGGAACTGCCTGCTCCCGTTTTCGCTAGGCACTCTGAAACAATAAAAAATATTCTCCCTCAATAATCCTCACAATTATTGTTTATCTTGGCCAGTTAAGTTGAGTGATTAAGACGAGTCGAGCACAAACTGAGAGTAAGTATTAAGGGTATAACTTAAAACGGGGAAGTACGTCGTGCGACGGAGAGCACTCCCCCTCACTCAGTTAGCAAAACGTCGACGTACTCGAGATGCGTGCGAGACGTGTAGGTGTAATGTAGCAACGGCAACAGCATTAATTTTTCACTCAAATTTATTTTATACGATTTGTAATAGTAGTAGTATAATAATAGTACCTGATTGATGAGATAATACTGCTATCAGTGGCCAAATGGCTTGTAGCCATCTCCGTCGATTCTCCTTCATGATATGTTTTTTGTCTATTTTCTCCTCTTCAAAAGCCTATATTGTCACTTTGTGGAATTACAGAAAAGCCACTATGACCCCAGTGGGCAACTGTTAATCAGGGTGAAATAGCATTGAAGTCATTCAAGATGATTTACACTATTTTCTTCGTGAACATCACTTCATCTATCTTCTCTATCGTTTATATTTGACAGCCCGCCAAAAATAATTTACATTGCACACGTACCAATTATTTAATTTCACTTCTGATCCATGAAATATGAATGAAACTTATGTCTCACTATTATATAGAAATTAAGTAGCATCTGAATTTGGATGTTTTAATATCATTTTCATCTAGCTCCAGTTATTCACTGGAAAAATTCGCATTCCAGTTACCACCACACATAATTGTCTCATTCTAATTGCTACCAGTAACAATCAGGATGCAATACTTTCCACTAGGAATTATTAACTTGCATTGCATTGCATTAATTATAAGTCGCAATCACTCTCACTCCTATAAATTGTTATTATCATTACGACTAGTGTGATTTATAATGGACCATCACTGTATTCCGTATGCGATAGTCGAGGTACAAATGATTGTACACGATGTGATGATGAAACACATTGTTTGCAATTACTGATACGTGACTGATGAGATGAGAAGCTCTAGTAGAATATAAGGTAAAAATTCCACGTGACTTTCTCTCAATTAATATTAATATTGAAGCTACGCCGACGTGTCCTGTATTCCGTCGGCGTTGCTCCGTATCATTGCTGACACCTTTCGGCATTAATTAATCGAACGAAATCTATCCCGTTACATTCCAAAAGTATTAATACGTATAATCGATTCTCGGATTGCCATTTTCTTTCATCACTGGCTAATCTCTTATTTAATTGGACGATTCAATTGATTCGATGTTAGGGGCCAATCCTGCAAATAAAAGGAGGTTGATGAGGATGGTGTTAGAACTGCAATACTGAATTCATTTTCCCGATGAAAAAATTATTGAGCCTTTTTCATCTATGAAAAAAAAGTGAGAATCAAAACCATCCTGGAGCACTGGATGCAATGATAATGGTACTGGATCCAATGATTATCACTCGAATTGAAAAATCACACAATTCCTGGCGCCACCCAAAACCCTGAGTTTCTCACCAAACAGGTTCATAGCAGAAAATGGATGTTCCACTCCAATCCTGAGATATTCCCCCTCGTGGGAGAATTAATGGATAATTGAATTTAATTATTTTTCCAGATGCATTAGTATTATTGTAGAGTCATGGAAGTCACCTGAATACACAACAACATTGTGTACTCTCTGACTATGTTACGAGCAGAAAAAAGGACGAGTGGAAAATAGTATGGAATGCAGCCATGAATGCTGCCATATTTCATGTGAAATCACGCAACAGTTTTTTACTTCAACTCGTGTGAATACAAATCAATGTTTATCGTTACATCTCTCTCAAGAGACGTTAATCACTGTGATCAAAAAATTATCCATGATTAACTATCTGTTATATTTACTCGCGATTCAAAACGTATTGATAAAATATTTTCAACACTAAACTTTATAAAGCAAGAGTGTATCAATAGTATAGAAAGGAAGAGCCCCGTTTATGCACAATCCGAATGAATGCGATGAATTCACCCTTTTCTCAACTGACAATGACATCAAAGAATGAGCAATAAATGAATCGCATGTCGACTGCCAACTCGAAATACCAATCTATTCATTCCAACTTGCCATCATGCTTTCTGCATCGAAACATCGTATGATGTCTCAATTAATTTATGCATCCGTACGATTAGTGCTGATCAATGGGATTATTACCGACTTGTTCTCCCAAAAAATTTAATACAAGATAACCAGAGTTCACTCTAATGTTCAGTGTTTGGAATTGGAAATTTAATAGAGCATCTCAATAAAACTTTCAAAACCTTGAAAATTTCCGTGCAAATGTATTTTAACATTCTTCACGGTTATACACGGTATTTTACACTCCGTTGAAATGATAAAACCACAATGAAGAGCCTTTGTCAATGAAATATCAAGGAAGTATTATGTTTAAATTCATCATAAACTCAATGACGGTATATAATTGTGCAAATTGATGTTAATTTTTTTCACTATTGATTAGTGTCCAAATCTGTGAGGTAGCTGCGAATGTCAACCGAGAATGGCGGAACACACTCGCGAAATAACGGTATTGGGGGTAGTATCCCGTGGTGGTTCGTCCGCGACTAGGTGTTCACGGGCCAACCCCTACTAGTTTTCACCGAGCAGCACCAGAGGGACTGTCATCCCCCCAAGTCTTTCCGCTCCTCACAACCCCACCCTTTTCATTTCTCCCCTCCCAACCACTATTCAAATTCTTATTTAACGAAACTGACAGCGTGTCATACTCATTTTAATAATTCTTATCCAAAGGTAACATCAAATGTTCAAAAGACTGTAAATCCTAGAGATATTAATTTCGTCAGAGAAAGTAATGAATAATAGAAAGCATTGATTTATAATTGTAATCTCTCACTCACAAATCATTTATAACATGCAGCGTTGCTCTGCCATATATTTTAAATAACATTTGAATCCATGGAATGCAGACCTCCATGGGAATTTATATATATGGAACGTGTATAAATAAATACATGATGTATATATAATGCCGTTGTGCTATATATTAAATCGGATGCATCATTCTTATTAGGTCATTATTGGTGACTATATATTTTCCGACGCACACCATTGTCATTTAAAAAATTACAAATTTTATTACAGTGCTGATCGGTGTGTGGATTATTATTATTATTATTGTCAGGTGTGTGCATCGTGTCAGAGTCATGTTTTATTTATAATACTATCATCGATTAAATTTCCAACTTTTATGAATGCGAATTAAATAGCGATTCAGTCATTCCATGAAAAAATTATCTAATTGTAATAGTTATAGTTTGAGCTTCATTGAATCAACGCGTATTCACAGATTATTTATATCTCAGAAGATAGTACCTCCCCATTGTTAGTCTGACATTAATTTTAAAGACTTTCAGGTAAGAGTGAGATGAAGATATGTCGACCGGTATATGAGGAAGCTTAATGAAATTCCTTACATACATACACTTATTCAGAAATGACTTCCATTTAATCTCCTTGGTTTTAATAGAATCGAGTTCATAACATTCCATTGAATTTAGTCGAAATTTAGATATATCACAGTGAAAGTTCATGTGTCGTTTGTCGTGACAACGGATCGACTCTCGATTCTGTTTTCGCAATCGCTTGATGAAAAAAATAATAAAAAAATTTAATGATTTTTGGAATGTTTTTATATTTTCTCCACTACTCAGTGTGAATATTTTCCCAACGTCAAATAAATGTCCAACGATTCTCTCCCTTAAAACTCTATTGATTTTATCAATTTCATTGGACCTCGTTTGATGAATTCAAGCGACTTTCATATTTTCATGGCAAGATTCCTTTTAAACCTTTTCTCTCGACTCTCATCTCCAGTCGTCTCTTTCTATCCGTACGAAAATTCTTCATGGAAACTAAAATTTATGTATTAACATTGTTCTCATGTTTTATGCAGGTCTCCCGGTTCTCACTGAAAACGTTACTTCTCTAAAGTGTCGAAGTATGTGTATATTGGCTCCTTGGAACGCTCCTGTGCGCCAGCATCCTTGCTTTCAAAAGTTATCAGGCCTTAAGCGATTTCAAAGCTTTATTGACATCGATTCTAATTCATGAGCCATCCGGGCACCTTACGACCAAAATTCATTTCAAATCCTTCCCCTTATCACCGTTATCCTATTCAAATAATCGTCCTTTCTTAGTTCGACTTGTAATACCTCATGTCTTTGAAAACAGGCAAATAGAATATTTTTATCAATAGATTTTTATCCCAACTTATAAAAGTTGGTTTTCAATGATTTTTTTCCAATGAAAAAAAAAAAAAAAACAAATCGGTCGTATGGAAATAGAGGAAAGAATTGAGTTGTACTCGGATGGTTGGATTGGTCCCTAGGCTGCAGCGCGTGTTTCTGTTCAACAGGTGTACATATTTACATCGGTATATATTAGAAATGATTTCTACTATTTATTTCTACTACCAGCAAAATTGGAAAAAAAAATATGACTATGAATATGAAAATTCATTGGAACAGGTTGTCGTGGGTAATCTCAACGGACTGTATGCAAGTGGGGGTTTCCATTCACTTGATCTTCAGATTCGAATGACTTGAGGGCCTTCGAATACTTCAATGGATTGGGATGACTAACATGTTACTTTTGGCAGTTAGTCACCCCTCGAGTTTTTTTTTTCTTATAAAAAAGGATGCGTCAAGTGCACGAGTATTAGGACGCTCGTATCTACTGCAGCGTCTAGGTGGAACACCATAGCTTCTGTCAATTACAGAAAACGACGGATACGACATATACGACGAAACTGAAATGGCGCATGTCGCGAATCGTAAGACATGCCAAATCAACTGACGATCGTTATACTCCTCTCTCGACGGGACTCTCCATTTAAATTCACTTGACACTTTCATGGAGACATTTACAAGGGGAAGTAAAAGCTCTTACTGCGATAAGTGCTATTCAATGTCAAATCCACCCGTACTGCAATTGTTATACAAACATGAAATATTTCATAGAATATTATATTTATGTCTGATGGAGATCTTTCAAATGGCTTTGAGACTTTCTCAGGAGTATATCCTAGTTATTCTGTCATTACATATTGGAAAAAGCCATTGGTTTACCGAGACAGAATTTGGGTTTAATAATCTGGGTTTAATCGAAAAAAAACATGGTATTTGCAGTGCAATCGATTGTCATGAGCTATTCTTTTTTTAACTGCTTATGGTATCAAAAGCCACAGCAACCACGAGCTCTTTGAATAACGGCGTTAATTGAATTGCCTATCGGATGTGGCCTGTGCCGCTGCGTTATTCTATTAGCGAAGCACCCATTGTCTTCGATAGTTTATAGTCTAACTCTACTGGCCATCCCTTTTCCATCTCATACTCCTACTAACAGGTTTCCAGTCGCGGTTCCACTACTTCCCCTCCTCTATTTTCATTTTGCTCCACCCTTGTGGGATCCTATACTTGCGCCTTAAATACAGCAAACCGTCAATGCTAGTTATACCAGAACCACTGTCGAGGCATCGTGCAAAATCAATACACCATTGTAAAAACTAAGAGAAAACAAATGAGATTGAAAACAAAAAGAAAATGTAAGTATATTCGTTGAATTTTCAGCTGCAACTTGAAGCAAAATCTATGCACCAGTGGTATATCATCGTTCCTACAACCTTCAGACACGGCATCAGTACAATTTTCTGTCTAACTTACATTTCCGTGGCTAGCCCATGACTCCATGAATCTCTCATGAGTAGTACAATTATTTCCAGTTCTCTTTCCTAATGTACTAGTCTCGGCTATCATGTTCGCCTGGAAGCACTTTTTTTTTTTTCGAACCTCCTTCAACAATATGTAAATTGCATAATCATCGTTTCGCTGTGGAGTGTTGTTGGATAATTTCACAAAATGGCTTACACTGAATAAGGTGGAGATTAAGGGCTGATGCAATCGTAGAGTGTTGCTTTGATAAAATTATCTTATTTTCAAATAAGAGCCGTATTAAAGATTTACCTCAATATATACAGTTCTTCAGAATGATGACCCTGCTGCAGATAATATTATTAATAATCAATCATTAAACCTGTTTCATAAAACAAAGACTGCCAATCAATTTTTTTATATTTATTCTTCAACCATTTTTTTTTCTCTATTATTTTCCATACTCTGTATTCAATTACATCAGTAGTAGTTAAAATTTTTATATTAATTTCATAATACTGTTATAGAGCTTGTTTATTCTTTTCTCTTTTCTCGTTTCTCTCTTCTCTTTTGAGAATTTCTAATTATCAGTAATTGAGCATGTTGCATCAGAATGAATATGGCGTTCTGTGTTGTTCATTATGTCGCTCTTATACGCATGTACAAATCTCACCGGGGATCAATCGAAATAATAATCCTTTTAATTTATTTCTACATGTATGACGAACTTTTCCGCACACTGCCTTCCTCTTCAATTCAAGTTACCACCCAAACATTCGATCGATATCATCGAATCAAGCAATTTAATTTCATGCCATAGATAAAATAATGTTTTAATCACTTACCACTGCTTGTTTATAATTATAGAAACATTTTTTATTGATTAATATATTATCAATAAGGGTGATGTAGAAAGCATGTAACTGAAATAATTTCTGATAGATTTTAATAGCTCGTCCACTTTTGTCGTGACATTGTTATTTTTTTTTTTGTTCATCGTGTCTGATTTACGTTTTCAGTACGGTCCATTTTAATTGGATCCACATGAATTTAATAGAACTATAACGATAATTAAAAGTTTGTCATACTATGCACATAAGTTGAGAAAAACAGCAAATCCAATTGATTAAAAATTCCATATCTCGAATTGTCAACGAAGTTCAATTTTCTAACAACACCATATGGTACTATATTAATATTAATTAATATAATTCATGAACAAATTTATTGTGCTAATTAAGTTTTGTTCTTGTTTTTATTTTGTCGAATTCGTTCCAGTTGGGCATGAAACTAAATATTGTAACACTTACAAAACTCATTTTTTCATAGTCAAATCCATTGTAGGGTAACCCTAGAATAATAAAGGGGAAGATAATAGATACATATGTGTATGTATTTATCCACTTCCCCTCTCTTTTTCAGTGTTGCGCAAGTTGCTCTCATAATTCTTTACAGAGTCAGTATATTTGGTTGTACCTGTCCTTTTTAGTATTATTCATTCATTCAGTTCTGTATTGTTTTTTTTTTGTCTTTTATTCACCACTTTCCATTGCGTACTTAAGACATTCTGCAAAAAAAATTTTTCACAGGAGTTGAGACAAGAATTACGGAACAGTCGGATAAAATTTCGTGACAATTCCGTGAAACTTTCCTTAACCACATTTAGCTCTGGAATAACGGAAAGAATACGTCATTTTTATTGAATATTTATCTTCGTGTATGCATGGAAGCCTTTTAATGTTACCGATTCGGGTATGTTTTACCTTGGATTTTTTCTTGGCCATTCCAATTTTTTTTTACAAATATTTCTGCCAGTATTTATTATGCACCTGAAGTACATGGCAGCATGCAGTCTTTTTCAGGTGCATTTAGTTGAAATTAAGGATGCATTGCTGAAATTATGCATGCTGGCATATTTTTCTGACTTTTCAGTCAGATGAAATATCTTTTACAAGTACATTGAACTACTTGCCACAATTGCATGAGATGTTTTGAATTTTTGCATTTGATTAATCTTCTATTTATAAAATTCACTCTTTCTCTGAACACAGCAATCACTTTCAACTGTGATAAAACACATGAACAATTTTACCACACCTTGGCTTATTGTTTATTTCTCTTGACCAGCCTGTCAGATATGCCATATGGTATAGTTGTCTTTAATGTTCCGTATGTATTTTTCAGGATTTTTTTTGAAAGTTGATAATTATTTACAATGGAATGATGATGAATTTCAGATGAATATTAATGCATGAATTTGTTTTTTTCTTTCCTTCTTCTATATCGATACATGTACTGAGTGTGACTATCGACACTAACAGTAGTTAATTCTAGAACTTCGTATTGCTTGTCAATACTTTCTAGTTTCATTTCTTTATTCATTTTCAATTTCATTAGTGTGCAGTTTTTATTTTTTACGTCCTCATTTTTTTTTCATAATAAGAATGAAATTTATAATCTCACGTTCCACTCTGTGTTTCTTCAGTTCTTCATTTTCTTCAATTAACGCAAAATTACCATGATTTAAAACTCGTCAAGCATATCTATAACAGTTACTTTCCATCGTTTATTATGGATACCATCCACACTTAATTCATTTGAAAATATTCATTCAATTTTTTGTTGTTTATTTCATTCATCCTTGGATTTATGTTCTTATTGGGACATTTTTTGCCCATTCTTCCGGTTTTTTTTTTGTTAAAAATTTAGAAACTTCTAAAATCATACCATAATGGCTCAAGGCAGCCAATATCAAATATTACGGTAAAATAACTGATAATTATTTTCACTAGCGCTGAGATGGTAGGTTTGATGGAAGTATTGAAATACTTAGTGACATGGTATCACACAATCTTGAAGTTCCTAGCTTCTCACTCTTTTTCTGCAAACAAACCAATAAGATGACCCAGAGTCGACGGAGTAAAGTGACGAAAAATCACGAAAATTCAGTGTTTAACGTAAATATTAATAATATTATCACTCTTAATTTTACTTCACATCAACTGTTTTAGAGACAGCCGCTTTCTTCGGTTCTGTATCTTTTCCAACTATTTTGATGCATTTGGACTAACTTCATGACTTGCATTTATCTCGCTATTAACCCACTACGAGTGCAATTGATACTGAATTCACTGGTTGACCATTAATTATAATGGAGAATACCCGATTTGTAACTCACCTGTTTTTATACCCGCTCTAACTTTGTCCAAGTTGATATATTTTCTCAACCGTCATCATTGCAATTTGTTCCAATGGGATTAATCAATGTGATCCTGAATATCATGAGAGATCGAAGTAGCAACTACTTTTCAGATTGCTTGGATCATTTATGAATTGTTCCGTTACAATTTCAACTATTTCCAGATTAACCCCAGTCTGTGTTTCATTTCGGTGAATAAAAAACTTCAATCACTCAATGACGAGTTTATACATTATCCGTATTACACTTTTTCTTAAAATCTTGTGATATCCTCATGTGAAAAAAAAATCCATTCAGAGGAATATCGCTTACTCACATAAAGCTCGTTTCAAATAAGTTAACTGAGTTATTTTTTATTTCTCTCTTTTCTCTCGGTCGAGTACAACGAAATCTCATGAGATTAGAGCATTTAATTCATTTTCCATATGTTATATTTTTCCGTTTTTTTTTTCTTCAGTTTTATATGAAAAGAAGTCACCGACTGTTATAACAAGTTACCTCTCAATACATAGTTATAATAATTATAAATGTATATGCATAATGTTTGTTTTGTCTTGTCCATAATTTGCTTAGTTCACTTTGAAAGGCCGTGGCTTTACAAGGCCCCCTACATTAATGTCACTTTGTGGCACGCGGTCACTCAATAAATTTAATAATTCTACGAATTTCGCATTCATACAAATGATTCATGATTTTTTCTCGCCCAAATTCGTTTTGTGCTTACAGAGAAATGTTCCCGGAATTAGTGTGTGTGTGTTTTTTTTGAAATACTTCACTTTGTTTTCATGTTGTTTTGCTTTCCTAATATGTTTGAGCATTGAATCGTATCATCTCGACATGTTCAATCGTGGTATAAACGATTGATAGCAGCGAGCGCGTCAACGATGGATATATATTTTTTCATTTGTTTATTAATTTGTTTGAGTTAAAAAATGTTTTTGATGTTGTATCGATTGGTGGAAATAAAAATGTGGTTCAATACGAATGTTCTATCAATCAGCGTTAAGATTTTTATTGTTCCTATAATGATGTACCCTTGTTCCTCAGCTCATCTTAGTTTCTTCTTCACCATGAAAGAGATACATAGACCAGTAAGCAAAATTAAATACAACAAACATAAATGGAAAAGCAAAACGTGCTAAAACATCAATTCTCGCACTTCCTTTAGCGTGACAGGTGAAGTAACGCAATGGTATAAGACCAAAGCAGCATTTTTCCGTTTGACTGAGCGGTAAACGCGAGAATTTACTCTTCGATTTATCAGCTGTGCGATGTAATAATGGTGGTGATGGTGATGGTGTTACCACTCGCGAAGATACAGGTGATGCTGAATCACGTGATGGTAATCTAGAAGATAGGCGACCCGGTGATGAATGTTGAACATCACCATCTGCCGTATGTGTTGAGATTGTTGGTGATTGTTGCTGACGGTGTCGTGAACGATTGTAGGAATTGTTGTGCTGATGAGGCGAATGTTGATGGTGAGAATGCTGATGACGATTACCATGATGTGAATGATGATTGCGCATCCGATGGCGTGTGTGTGGATGATAAAAATGGCCGCGAGCCACATCGTTCCTAGATCCAAGATGCTCATCCTCTTCCTCATCTTCGCTATTCACTCGTCGTCTACTTCCTCCCGAAACAGGTACGTGGACCAGTACGCGAGGTTGAACAGTGCGAATACGAGAGGAAAGGTGATCCGTGATATTACATCGATGCGCTTGGATCTCGTCGGGAACTTGGAGAGCCACGACCTGCAGCAGTTTTTTTTCTGTGGTTGCATATGTATTTCGCACTGGCGCATCTTATCCATTGACATCGTATCCTCCCGGTGTCGGACGAGAGGCTTCTGAAAGAAATTGGACGGCTCTTGGTTTGGTGTAGGAACACCATAGATCGGATTCTATTCCTTTATTTTCTCTTTGATTTTCTTCTATTTTATTTCTTTGATTCTTTCAACAATTTGTTTTTTTTTTCTCTTCAACTAAGTTTCTAGTCCCGATCCATTTCTCTTACTTTAAAGGCTTTCCAAATCTTTTAGGTCTCTTTTAATTTCTTATTTACTGTCTCAATCAAATGACTCTTGTCCGATCCATGATCATGCAAACTTATAACTAAATTTTTTATTATCTACCATAAGTTATTTGAGAAACTGACCATCTGAAAATTTGTCGAGCCATCCGGTTCTAGAAGCTCTGTTGCTGGATCGACGGATGCTGAATGTTCAATTTCACGATATTTCTTCTTCATATTCTCCCTATGCATATCGCTACGTGAGGCATAATTGACCAGGGCAAATTCAAGTAGCGCACCAAATACAAATGTCAAACACACACCAGTCCAGACATCGATTGCTTTTGTATAAGATACCGGTGGCAGTGAAGCATTTATTCCAGATGTTTGTGTTGCCATTGTGAGTAGAGTTGTCACTCCTATGCACCAACAAAATTCCCAGTCGAAGGAAATAATGAAAATGGAATCGAGATGAAAAATTTATAAAAAAAAAAAATTATAATTAATGCAACGCATTGCATTAAACTATTGATGGATTCGTGCATCCTTCACAGGTGCAGTATATCATATAAGCCGTCAACTTCAGCTACGTAATTATTATCTTTATTCACGTACCGAGTGACACTCGTGCGGGCACCGCACTCTGATCCAGCCAAAAGGATACCCATGACACAATCACAAGCATACAGCAAGGAATGTAAATTTGAATGAGATAGTAACTGAATTCCCTCTTAAAATGTAAATCCACTTTCAAACAGCTGTATTCGCCTGAAAGATATGAATCATTTGGTGTTCAATGCGCTATTAAGACAACATTTTTTTTATTACAACAATATAAAAATAATAACACTGAGAAAAACATGATTAGTTACTTCTTCCATTGACCAGTATTAAAATATTACTTTTTGCTAATGAATAATTATTTTTCACTGACCAGTATTCGTTTTGCTGTTGCAATAATCGGTCCAAAATTTTTCCAGTGTAAAGCGTGGAAGGTGTAAGTTCTTGACTACTTGAACCGGGTCGCCCTCTTTCCATAGGAATACCAAGTCATCTGTCGTCCAACCGTCTAGTATTCAAAACCATTAATTGTGTTTTACATTACTCGATTGTCAAGCAATTTCACCAATATTTCATCATGATGTACTCACAACTGGCCATGCGTAACGAACAGATTTGTCGATCCAAAGGATATAATTTCAGATTCATCGGACACGCCAACGTCAGTGATATTCTACACCCAGAAAGAAAGCAATTGGATAGGATTGATCCAGTCAAGCTCATCAGCAATCATAGAAAAACCGGCTATACCCACTAATAACTCTCACTAACATGATAATTCAAAAGCAAAATTCAATTGTCAATTCATTCTTGTTTTTTTTTTAATTAAATTTAAATCTCACCTAATGCTATATAGTACTGAACCATTTGGAAATATTCGTATGTATACATTTGGCATGATAATGTTGTGAAAATGGCCTTCTTTTTCGTTCGAGAAGAAAAGATCTGGCATCCACACACGTGTTGATTCGGTGAGTGTCAAATACTTTAAACGTCCTGCGAAATGCCCAATTTCAATCAGAACACGCAATATTAAAAATACGGGGGTTAATATATCGGTGGAGAAAGGTTAATTAAAATCCGAATAACGTCATACCTCCGAAATCATTGAATCGGAGTCGCTCATCAAGCCATTGTTCTCGAAATGTCAGTTGAACCGAATATTCCTGTTGACATACAATTGTAACTCAAGTATTTTCTGATCAGATTTTCAAATGCTTTTTCCACAACATCTTCTTTCCCCTGTCTTTCCAATTTCTTTCAAACCCAAAAGTTGATCTACCAGATTGATTTTCAAGCAAGAAAAAAATTCCTCTTTCCATCTTTAATTATTCTAACTCATCGATCAATGATGACCAGTACTCCGGAGAAGGCCAAGAGGAAAATCTCTTTATTGAGAGTAATAAATACATTAATTAAATTTCAGCAATGCCAAGGAAAACACCACTTACAAACATCCGTAGAACATTACTGTTGAAACTGCTAATGAAGTGAGGGAGCTATCATGCGGAAAGCTACATTGATGGATACTTCACTATAATTAATATAAACGTGCATTTTGCTCACCTTGTTTCTTCTCTGTCTTTCAAGAAAATCAATTACCGCACTGAGTGCGAATCGTGTAGTTGCCATTTATGAAAAACATTCGATTATTGATAATTCATAATTATATGATGATTATTCCGTTTGACAGCGATTAATTGGGAGGCATGTTGTCAGCTTGGGTAATTGTTTAAAAAAATTAATCTTGTTGATGGTGACAGGGCAACCGCATATTAACGAAACCTCCTATCAACCTATTACTCAAAATAATTAAACTCATTCCCAACGAGTGCAACGTATTAACAGTGGATTGGTCATCTCACATGTGCTCCGATGATTCTGCTCGACCAGTAAAAGATCCCTCGCCATGCTAATCCAGCAGCAATATTGCCAAACAATTCGCACACGCTTTGACACACGGTTATTTGGCATCAACGTATATCAGATCAAAGATTCTGACAATTTTTTTATAGCCTTAGCTACCCTCCCCTCCAACAAAATCTTTCTCTTCTTTTCAGTGAAATTTTTTCTTCCATTCGGAAAATAAAAATCCACAATTTATCATCCTCCCATGGCATTCCTCTTTAGTCTCCCTCCCCCCCAAAGCTAGTATTTGTTTAAAAGGAGGCAAACCCGGGCATCAATAGTAGACCTATAGAGATATGATTCAGTACAAAATTACGAAAAGTCTTGACAGAGTAATTGAAAAAATTGCAACGTAATTTATTTTAGGGGCATACCAGTATTATTCTCTCATATCAAATATACAACCACTTATACAAATTTATCAGTCAATCCATGATTCCAATCGATCCATAAAATGACTTATACCAGTCTTACACAATCAAAGTTCAGTGTTTTTTTAATTATATTTATGCTTTAAATCAGAAACACCAAATACACGGACAGAAAAAAAAAAACAAACTCATGAACGTTCTTTTGCTCGTGTAGTAGCCACATCCACTGGTTGCGCGACAGTACAAGTATAATAATACAAGTACAGTACAAAAAAAGTGCATTTTCATACGTTATAATACACACGTGACGTTATAGATACACAATGTGTGGATATATAGACTCGTAGGCCTGGTTATTTTTTTGTTGAACTCACCATTTTATTATCATCTATTTTGCTGATTGAGCGAAGATACATGTTGACTTCGACAGTTGTCGGGCCATCTAACATGTTGCCGGAACAGAATAAAACAATGGGATTATTAAATCGTTATAAGGCAATTAGGATATAGGGCTACCTTTCTTGGTACCTTGATATTCTGTACAATACGCCGAATGCTGAGATGCCAAATGCCACTTCACTCAATGACAATTCATTAAAATTAATCTCATTTGCCTAAAATCATTTTGCTCAACTGTCAATTCGCCTAAAAATTGACATTTAGCCGAGACGAAACGGAGAATTAGATTAATTGTCATAATAGGGAGAAGTGATATTTGACGAATCGGTATCGGGCAAATCGTACCCAATCTGATTTTCTTGCGTAATCCGTATCTCTGTCTTTTCCGATACGTCATTGAATCTATAATACCGCTTTTCACAAAATACCAACTTTGACTAAATTATTACGCATGGTTTCGCACATGGAACAGATCCTATATTGATTCCGCACTCACCGAATTAGAGTTCTGACCTCAAAGAAATACAATTTGCTAATCCATATTTTTTCGAACCAACACCAATTGATCTTCTCACTCGCACATATCCATTCAAATCAATCAGAGAGCTGAAGATCATTTCGTCAGGTACAGTTGTCTCTTATTCTTTTTTTTTACGAGACTTGCGATAGGCTAGGTATTCAGGAAAAAATAGTGAGCTTATTGATAGATTATGTATCAGTACTAAATATAAGATTTTTTAATATTACTCTCCCCTGCTCCTAGATTATCTGAAATTTTTCAAAAAATATTGATAACATTGACTGCATTTTTTATTCCCTCCAACTCAGGCAATTATCCTTACCATTCAGAGTTTTGAATTTAGTTGAATCGTCATCATATTGACGTGAATGTAGTGATACTCGCCTTAAAAAAGACCATTCTGGATGATCCAAAGTTGTTGAGCAAAAACCTCGCCGAATAATACAGCCGTGTCATGAATCCTAGTAAACTTTTCGCTCAATGTATGAAGTGGTGAATGGAATTATAAATTCCATAAGATATCAAATATAAGAAAACTTTGAAACGGTACCGTTTCATGCTATTTTCAAAACATTCCAAAAGCTCAAAATTCATGCCAGTATCAACTCTAATACAATTACCACCCAGGATTAACAAACAGTCAAATGGATTCGTGACAATGCTTTTGGAAAAGATGTAAAAGAACGTAAAGCTCTTTGTATTGACAAAAAATAATTTATTTTTTTTATTATTATTTTTTCATTAAATCATTTTCCTTGTTCTCAAGTTCGTGATCATGCGGCCACATCGACTAATCTATTTCCATTCAATGTTGAGAGACAATAATCACAAACATAAATTCCCCATCTCATTATCACTTTTCTTTCTGAATTTTTTTCTTGCTTATAAGAATTTTTATTTTTGACAAGTAGTTTGCTCTTCTCTTGTGAATTTAAAAAGGGAATTGTTCACTAACATACTTACCATTTTGATGTCACTAATTGTCGCAATGCTTCGTACAAACAGGTTTACCCGGACAATGGCCGGCCCATCTAAGGGCAGACAATAAGAGCTCCTTTTTAATCAATAAAGCTTTTTTTGATTTTTCAAAGATACTACATTAGCTTTTGAAATGAATCATATTCATTCGACATTTGTATAACCTTAGGCAATTAATTGATCTCTAGCTCTGTGGACATTTATTCATTTATTTCTCTACTTCAAATGGAATTCGGGTTTAATTTCAGTGATATAGCATAAAAAGATGAGAGATTCAATTGGTGTGTAGTCAATTTTAAAGCTACGAGCAAAGCTTTAAAGGGCTTTAAAGGAATTTAATTAAAATCTGGGGTCATGGAACTTGTAATCTTCCTAGCTTCGCAGATATTTTGGAAATTTTCTCTTGAAAGACCGGCAAGCACTGCTGATTTGTCGACATAACGCTCTCCAGGTTGGCAGCATTAAAATCCCACACGCTAGGGAACGTCACAAAAGTTAACCCAAGGGGAATCCTCCCGTTATAATTCCCATCATTGAAATCCTCCAATTACAAATAGAATTCGACATTTCACAATCGCCTTTTTTGAGACTTATTCTTACACGGAGAGAAAAACCATGGTGAAGAGTGAATTGAATATTATTTTAGGGTGAATGAATTTTTACCTGTTCCATTTTCGCCGCTGGGTCGAATACGAGCATCGTATTTTTTTTCTCCGAGTATCTCATCCAGCACTTCCTTCTCCTTCGACCGATAGTCGACTTTTCCCAGCGAACATCTGGAAATAAACATAATTTGGATACTGTTCTCAGGGCTTCCGATACTTCTGGCAAGCCCCACATATACATATACTCCAGGTTTTAGATAAAAATGAACCGACGAGTGAAACTCTGAAGGCACTCTAATGGAATTTCATCAATCCACACAACGTAGCTACACCTGCCAACCGTTCATCGAGCCACGCCCTACAGATCGACTTCTAAGAATCTCAATCCAACTCAACAAACAAATTAACCTCTGCTAAGTTCAGCAGTGCCATCCGGAGAAGTGGTGATAAAAAATCAGTTGAACCATCGATCAATCGATATGAAATCCCAATTCCAGCAAACACTTCATAATATCATTTCAACAGCCTCATCTCGACTTCTCAATCAAAATCAATGATTGCCGTGGTTATTAATCAGAAAAATGGTAATGAAAGCCTTGTTATAGCCTAAAGCCACCCAGCTCTGATGAAAAACATGCTTTTCTAGGGCGACAGCGAGGGTTTTGCCACAAGTTGGAAAGCACTTGGGCACTAGCCGTGTCCATCTCTTCAAACACCAAAGGAAGACGCGAAAGAGGTAAGAGGTAGGGACGTCGACGGCTATTCAGACGTCCAAACTGCCTTGGGCATCCGATGTCAACAACGCAATCCATCCCTCCCTCTATCTGCTCTTCTTATGTGAACTAGTATTCACCTTTTATCCAGACGCTTCTCTCCACCAAATAAAATAACATTTTCATTTGAAAAAATTGAAATTAGTAACGCAGTTCCACCTAATCGTTTAGTCTTCTTTTCAGTAGCAAACCATCTGTTCAAAATTATGAACTAAAAACGAAAGCAATGGATGATGAAATTGACTTACCTCGGAAGATGTAGGAGAGTTATCAGTACAACTACCAACGGTAGTACTCCAGGCCACATTGCGGCGGCCTGAAAACAAACGTAAGCACGTATTTATAATATTGAAGTAAGCAATATCATTACTAGGAACGGTTTGAAAAAGAAAGTCACCATTTTTGTTCATATAAAAATGGAATTTCATCAACTCAACTTTATCTAGTCCATCCTAGTGTTGGAAGTGAAGGCGCACTTCTTCAAAAAAAAATTATTTTCTCATTATAAAATGAATTATCACTTCATCTTACTCTATCGCCTTATTTCTAAATGATTTTCACTCCCGCTGTAGGATGCACACACATGAAAACCACCCCATTCTACCTCATCTCCTCCGATCACAAATAAAGAGGGTGTCCCGAGTTTAGCTAGGGGTAACATGGGGGTATACGTCAGAATCTGTTTCTTCTTCCATCAAGTGTTCCGGATATCCGATTGATGGGAGATATATGAAATCATAGCTCGTTTTCCAATAAATTGCCAAGCCGTACTATATACTATATTTCACACACCGATTGGATCTGCCTGGCCCCCGCCCATTCGTTAAAAATTTCACATCTACATATATTTTATTTTTAACTATATCTCCTCAACTAATGATGTACCTGAAATTACTGATGACGCAATAAAAATTCACGACTACTACCGCACCATCAGTGAATGACGTTGTTCCCCTTTGTTTTCTTCATAATTGGTCATTTTTATCTTGTATAACTGGCATTATGATAATACATTCATTAATTTTCTCATCGTAATGTCACTTGATATCGAGGATCACAAAATCCGATTAGTCCTCTCGATCAATTATCAGAGCCGCAAGGGCTTTGTAAAAGAGAAAGACCAGTAACTCCCTAACGTTGTAAGATCATCAGGTGTCTCATTAATCGGCCGCGACGACGCTGTCACGTACTTTCATGAAAAAAAAAAGTTTAATTAGGGAGGGGTAGAATGTGCGGAGTGCATCTAAATGTACCTAACATAAAATTCGGTTGACACAGGTAACTCTTCATGAGAGGCTCTGATGGCACTCCTTCAACATTTGTTTATTGTGTTGGTTTAAAAAGCCATGGTTAAACTTGTATTCATTCCTTCGCCCTCGAATCTGACCCTCAAACTATTTCCACCATCTGATTTTCTGTCATTTCCAAGATAATTCAGTGGAACAAATACTCAATTTTTCAGTTTGAGAATTAGTAATCGGCGGTAAAATTTATATTCAAGGTAACTTCAAACAGAAAAAAAATGCGAAAGAGAAGGATGGAATTCAATAAATATGTAGGGTGGATTATGCGATTATTATGCGATAAATCGTTGCAAAACTGTGATTTGCCCTCTATATATATATATACAACATGCCAAAAAATGTGGATCTTTAGCACTTTGATGTGACATTCTTCAAGACTTTCTACAAGCTCTTTCTATCCTTGATTTTTCACTTACTGCCAAATGCCCCCATTTTTTCAACCTTTTCCCCGAATTTCCAAAGGTTTAATATAGACACTGCACCAGATATTGATGAAAAAAATATAAAAAAATCGGTGAATAATTGGAGTATTGGTGGATTATATGATAAAATTCTTGAAGACAATTAGCACGACGACCGATCAATTAATCGACTTGCCGCATTGCCTACAGCAACTAACACTCATTTTATCATCTTACATTCAGTTTTTGGGTAACACAATCCATCCGTGATACTCCACCCCTAACTGTCCACTCCCGTATTTTTCCTTCCTTGCTACTCGACTCCTTCCGTCACCTCTTCCCTTTCTTGATACTCATATTCTTCATAATGCTACTTGATTTCTACTTGGATGAATAGTGGATGCTGCATTATCAAACATATTATTAACGTGGCACGATAAAAAGTTGATTGACGGTGACGCTTCACGTTGAAAAGTGTTCGGAGGAATGGAGAACGTTAAGAAAAAATGATAAATTGTATGAATTAGAAAAAGCATAAAGGTAAAAATGGTGTAGAAGTGAATGTTTATTTACTTAGGTGTATATTTATAATAATTAATAGTATAAATAAATGAATTGAAATGAATTGTCGATTTACCTGGAGAGAACGAAAATCCTAGGCAATGACGGCGTTACGGCGTGGTAATGCTGACATGGCGCCTGGCGATATGTGCCTAACAGGACTAGAATATCCGTACAGTGAACTGATAAATGTTATAGAGATATAAGGCGGCAAAAAACAGTGCTACCTCGAGGAATAGCTCTCCAGGACTGGCGGCTGGTGGAGAATGCCTCCAACCAGCCCAACTCTCATCCATATATATACGTCTGTATTTTTCTCTTTTGGCCCTACCTGGTTGCTGGTGCGCTATTGATCTCGGCCCAGACCCCCTGACGATCGACGCAGACGCTTAGCGCTGTCGCGTCGCTTTAGCAACATGACGTCATTCACCACCACCACCACCACCCCCCCAGGATACATTCCTCCTCTTTTTCCTCTTCACCATCGATGTCTTTCTCTTCCTTCAGCATCGCACCCTTCAGACCTTTAGACCCCCATGGACATCGATAGTTTCGATAGGCAGGCACCGATCATGAGATGCAAACGCCAACACTCCTCCTCCTCCATCTCCCGACCATCTTCCATTCTCTAATTCCAAATACCAAATACCAAATGCCCAAGGCTCTATTGTTTGCAAATTGGCAACTATTTGGTGGACATCATTCCAATGATATTCAATCCGACTCTCTACCTATCACCATGTGCCCTAACTGTAGTAAGGTCAATAACTCTACTCACGTATCACCGCAGGCAATCGCCTTTCATTCCTTCGATTCTCCCCTTTATTTTTTTTACTTCCAAATCGAAGCTTTGTAATCGACCAAATTTAAGTTTCATTTTTTTTCTCGTATATCACCTCGGTATAACTCGGTATAAAGCATTTCGAATGTGCACTTATTTACAAAAGAGAAAGATAATACGGAAAATAATCATTCGGAAGCATATTACTAATTTATTGGCAAAGACAACTATATGATATGCGATATAAGAGCTATTCCCGACTTGTTTCACTTTGACATTATTTTTTACCCGTTCCGCTTACATGAAATCCTTTTTTTCATGAATTTTCACGAATCCCATTAGTCTACGGAATAACAGCAGCTCATTTCTATATTTTACAGGGACGGTTTTTGGAAAACCCCCGCAAATTACATATAATTCTCGGTGTAACGCAAGTGTCACCCATTAGATTTAACGAGTGTGCCGTTATTTTACGTTTTGTGTTTATTCTTGGTTTTTCATGGTATAAAGTGCTTGCACACATGTTCTCCCGGAGGTTTTGTTACCTACCGCCTTCGTGACCATTTTTTATCCACGATGCGTTACTATCCCACCCCATCTCCATCTCCATCCCGTTGACGGCCTCATCAGAAAGGAGAGGGAGGTGTTTCTTTCTGAATTTTTTTTTACATTTCCCAACTATGTTGGGTTGTGCCACAGTGTGACAAAGGGATTCCAAAAAAAAAGAAAAAAAAATTGAAAAACATCGAGTCTAAATGAGAATCCACTGAAGCTACTTCTTATTGCAAATAGGACAAGAATAGAAATTCCATCTCAAAACGAATTTTTTAATTGTACCATTCACTTAATTGTGTGTAATTATATTAATTCGGGTAGGAGGGTGATAAATGAATAAAACATAACTGTCATTGTTACAAAAACCTTAGTATTAAAATATCCCAATAAAACAATAAATAATGAATCATGATAATTTATCTCCATTAATCGCCATGAAATTAAATAAAAAATGTTCGGCAGTGCATTAACATGCTTGTATTTTTTTCCTCATTTTCTGGCAAATGCCTACATCACAACTATGTGTCGCTTTATTTGCATATTTCGCTGATGTTTAATAACTTGTTATTTCATGCAAAATTTTGGAGCTCTAATTTGTTCAAATTATTTGATGAACGCTTGATACATCTTTAATATTTCAACCTATTAATAGTATCTCCTAATTTGACTGTGATTTAATTCAATGATCGATTACCTACATGAAACGCAATTTCGTTGGTAGTATTTGAAAATCTTCTTCGCTATTCATACATTTGTTAATTTCAATTATTATCTTTCATTTTCTTTGCTATTCTACATCATCTGGGTCATTTATCTGTTCCATATCTCTACAGTCAAGTTATTACAATATGAACACATCAGTCATTTTATTGATCTTTAAATACATGTGAAAAATCATACTAGAGGAATATCATATTTCCCTGCCATACCACGCTCAAACAACGAACACACACAGGTTTTCTATTGTATTTCATTTTCTTAATAAATATTCATAAACTAATCATTGCATCAGTCTCTCTCTGTAGGGGTAATTCATCCTTCAATGTAATAATTCCTATACCGTTTTTGTAACTCCAAATACATACCCATAAGCAATGAGTAATACGGAAGCAAATGCTATCTGCCAAAATAATTATTCAAAAATTAACTATTAATAAAACACAAAGTTGTAAATAAAAAAAAAATCACCAAAAAAATATAACTCCAATATTTTTTCGTAAAACGACTAATGCCAAAAAATTCACATGCATTCGTAAAAATGAACGTAACCGAAATTGAATATAGAATGTTGAAACTGTCATTCATCCTTGCTGTAACACTCGATTCGATCGTCTTTCAAACGTAATCTGGATTGTTTCCAATACATAACCACAAAACTCATCCAGATAATGTTGGAAATGTAATGCATTCATATCTTAAAATAATTAAAAAGAGAATAAGTAAACGACAACAATGGGCAAAGGGTGTAATTGGTTAGAAGAAAAATGAATTTTTTTATGAAGTTATGATTGTTCGCCGTTGGATGGCCAGTGACCCGAATGATTATGCCAATCCCAGTCCTTGCCCTTGGGTCGAAATTTGCTGGTACTACTAGAGTTATTCCAGTCGCGGTGGAAAAATTTCTTTTTGAAGTGGTGACGCTCAGGATCCTGTTGACGCTGATATTTTAAGGGTACTGATGAGGATGTATTATTATTTGATACATTGGGTGGACGTGGACTCGTAGGTGACGGGGTTCTAGGCGGGCCAATAGCTTCATCAGGTGAGGGAATAACGGGAGGTGGGCCAATTGCCGCATCAGATCCCAATCCACTGTCCGGACTCGTATTGACACCTTCGGTTGATCTTCGACGTTTATCAAGCTCTGTTGAGGCAAATGCCACCAAACGATCGAAACCAGAGCTTATTCGATCTTGCCAATCTGCCTCACCGTCTGCAAAGTACGTCAGAAACATATTTTTTCCACAAGATTCCCTATTTCAGTTGCGAACCGGTAAAACTCTTCAAATCGAAAAAAAAAAAAACAAATTTTACTGTACGCGTTGCGTTTAGAAAATTGAGAATTCGTGTTTATTCGTCAGTGGAATCAACCTTCGCCAACTGAATCAACCCTCCCGAAATATTTCAAACTCTCAAGTTAAGAATTTGAAAGAAAAAAATGATATGTTTCGAGGCTTGAACTCTTTCTCACAAAAATCGAGTTGAAACATTTACCGGCCTTGCTACTGATATCATATTTTTATTATTAATTATGGATGACGTTTGAAATTTTCACAAAAATAAGCCAATTTATCTACCATATATGTCCATATATTTCATGCAGTTACTAAATACATATCTACGTTTCTACGGGAAAAGAAGTGAAGAAACATTCATTTCAATTTTTCGTGTGATTGCCGGAATGGCTACCTTTGGCTCTCAATACGTCAATTACTTTTCTCGGATATACTTTTTAATGTGTCTAATATTACTCCGTTTTTTTTCCTTCTCTGATAATTTTGGCTTATTTTCATGTGAGTCCGTAATTGATTTCAATAAATGGTATATCCAAGATTCTTTCATGAAAAGAAAAGCATCATAATTTCAACTATATACAGTTTGAAGATTGTGGAAATCGAATAGTGAGTATGAAATAATAATTGCGAAAAAATTTTGAAGAAACCCCTTTGGGAAAACTCACCAGGAGTCACGAACGAACCCAAAGGCAGCCATATCTTTCTGATTTCACCCTCTGATCTGTGTGTCTCAATCGCTAACAAAACAAGCTTTGCGAACTTTTTCATCTGTTTTCATTTTTTTATTCTTTTTTTTTTAACCCAGATCTCGAGATTTTTGCGACAGAGAGAGACGATCTTTTTTTTACCAATAAAACAGCTACAGTGCATCTAACAAATACAACCAACAATAATTGAAAATAATGAAATAAATATATATTGAAAAGAAAAGCATAGAATTGAAAAACCAAATCCACATTCAAAACCCATATATCTAATTAATGAATTAGTGGTAGATTTTTCTAGAAATAGATAGATAGGGATCTATGTAAATGCAAAATAACTCAAAGTAAAAGGCATTAGATAATCACCATAACCAATCATGACAACATTTTAAATAAAATCTTCGGGAGAATGTCGAGAAAAGGAATAAAAAGAAATAAATCCACAAATAGGAATAGATTAATTTGAGCATTCATCTTTCAAAGAATATTTATAATATTATCGATACATACCATCATCACCAATGCCATTTCGATGTCGTTGATTACTCATTTGTGGCTCATCAACAAGAGGCGTTGAAGTATTAGAGTGTGGTTCAGCTGGTGGACTGAGTGGTGCACCACTGGTACTAACAGATGAAACACTCGTTTCAATTTTTACACTAGAAGATTGAATTGGGGGTGATGGTACTCTGTCCGTCGTATTGTTGTACCTAGGATAGGGGGCATATCTTCGACTATTTTGCTCACTCTTTCCACTGTGATTATTTAGTATCCTAGCATGTAATGAGGCAGCAAGTCCCTCAACAGGAACATTGCCATTACCATTGGCCCCTTGTGAAGGTTGAACTGAAGCTGTTGATTGAGTTTCATTAATCGTCGATGGATTATCAGCAAAGTATGATTCATGATAGAATTTAATATCAGCCCTTGGCAGTTGCACTGGGGTATAACGTTGATTTTGATTAGCCGGTGTGAATAAAACTGATGATCTCGATGGTGTAGCTGTGGGTGTTGTCACTGATGAGGAGGTCGGGGCATAACTGGCAACATGTGCTAATGTTGCAAGTCCAGTATCACCTTCAGCACTCGCTGGTCTCGATATTGGTGAGTAAACAGTTTCCGGTCTTATAATACCACTCATGTCGACCGCTGCATTTATAATTGATTGATTCGATATTTCGAGGGTTCTCTCGATTTCGCCACTCACTAAATCTCCAATAGTTCTTGTCCCAAGCAATCCATGATCCGCAGTCTGTGCTCGAGGCTCAACAACTGGCTGGCGACAGTCCACCGGCTTCTCCGTTGATATATGAGAAGACAATCGTTCTTGGGACAGGTGACGACGAAGTGCCAGCTTCGCTGGTGAAACCTGTGTATAATCGGGTGCTGGGGCATTGGTAGGCAGTGCTAGACGTTTTCTATCAGGCTCGGAAGATTGAGACGATGGGGATACCACTTGAACCACCATCTGCTGGGATTGATGCTGATTTTGAGGTTGATGATGAGGCTGATGTTGATGGTGATGTTGGTGTTGATGCTGGTGTTGCTGTTGCTGTTGCTGTTGCTGTTGCTGTTGCTGTTGCTGTTGCTGTTGCTGTTGCTGTTGCTGTTGCTGTTGCTGCTGCTGCTGCTGTTGCTGTTGCTGTTGCTGTTGCTGTTGCTGTTGCTGTTGTTGTTGCTGTTGTTTGGTACGATTCTGCTGATCCTCATTTAAGACACTTGTTATTATACTCTTCAAGCGATCCTCAAAGTTTGTCACCCTCGGCGGTTCTTGACCACGATTCACATGCTCTCTCGGTGTGGTATGAGAGGGAGAGTAATTATAATTTGTTGGGGGTACACGCGGCCGATTGTTATTGATTGAAAGATTTGAGGCGGAATTATGACGGCTTGGAATCCGTCCAGCTTCAATTTGACGTCCTGTTTCTAGGATTTTCTGGGCGAGAATCTCAGGATTATTCTCCTGGATTTTACCTATATCTGGAACGTCTGGCCATTCTTGAGAGCGTGAGCGCGTGTCACGGTGTTTACGGGAGGTTGCTGTTTTCCCGTTATGCTGTGTGTAGTGATTTTGAGGATGTTTGTTGGCAAAGGGTTCTCGCTGTTGATGGGACAGAGCAACTTGCTTTTCTGTCGTTGTACGTTCAAGAACATTCAATTCGTGCTCCAGTTTTGATACCTGTGAATGTAATTTCTTTCTTTGTGAAAGAGTCTGCGAAATTTCCTTAAGAATATAATCGGGTGATAATACAGCTGGAGAGTTGTGGAGATGATATTTATCTTGAATTTCTTGATGCCTCTGTGCGGCAAGTCGTGACTGTTCATTTTCCATGGATGACACCTGCGACTGAAGCTTGCTCGCTTTCGCTTGCAACTGCTTATGTCTGAGGACAATTTCTTTAGCTTTGGCAAGCAGGTCTCCAGGTGACGTTGCATTTATTCCTAACTCCGTCATGCGAGCTTTAAGTAATGCTACACTGTCATCAATTAACACTTTTATTTGCTTTTCCAATTGTGCAGCACGTGATTGGAGTTTCGAATTACGTTCACGTTCTTTTGTTAGATCAGCAGTAACTGATTGTTTATAGGCTGGTGTTCTCATGGACTCGAGAGTGAGCATAAATTGGTCCCTGTAGAGATCGAGAAGTATTTGTAATGCATAGGGTGTTGCCGATGGTGCAGGGGGGATGCTAAGTTCCTCATGGACTGAGGTAGAGTGTGGCTGCAGCGACAACGAAAGGGATGAAAGATGTTGATCAACACAGCCGGGTGCGGGAGGCAATTTCTTCCCAATAGCTTGTGGCGACGTACTCAGCAGTGTCTGACTGTGTAACAAATCTAATCCAGATATATTAATGGCTTTCTTCGGTTTGGCCTTCTTAACAGCTCTACCACGTTGTCTACCCCTTGTTGCTTGTTGTCTCACGATCGCTGCACCGGCTACTTTTCGATTCAATTTCCGATGAATCTTTGTTTGTCGTTTACTTTTCAGATTTTCATCGACGTCTGAATCACTATTGGTACCCACTAATTCATTATTATTTGGACTCTCTAGCTGCCGCGAAAGATCCCGCTTTGCCCTCTCACCTCTGTCTGATCTAATTGATATTTTACTATGGTTGCTGGCAGTGTTGCTTATCACAGAATCAGTATTTTCAATTTCTGGTCCACCCAGTCTGTTGTTCTTCAAACGATGGAAATAACGCTCAAGTTTTGTTCTGTCGATTACATGGAGATAATAAGACACGGGTTTACCGGTCCAAGAAACTGAGCCTTTCAGTGGAGTCATTTCGGATACGTGCATTATTGTGCCAATATCACTCAAATTTCGATCTGTAATTCGAAAATTCAAAGGGCAGAATGATTTTGACGAGACGATACGAGCTCCATCGCGTAAGTCAGCAAAACGTTCCTTCAATTGATGATCAACAGTTGGACCAAATGCAAAATTATTGACAAACACTATTGTTGCACTAGTTATACTCTCACGGTGCTCGTCTGCGAGAAAGTCACCTTTTACGAGACGATAATCACCACATCGTTTACCATACCAGTTTAGCCATTTGCGAAAATTTATTTCCATACCCTGTGCATAACGTGAAGGCACATCGGCTCTTTCAACGCCAAGACAAATTTTACAAGTGGTTGCTGCAGCCATCTGTAAAACAACTTGCCCGACACCTGAGCCCAAATCCACAAAAACATCATCCTCAGTTATTTCAATTTGATCGATCATTTGACAAACAAGCTCATAACTAGTTTCTCCATAAACTTCAGGTGAAAAAGGCTCATACTGATTGAGCTTATCTGGCTCAACAACAGCTTGATTGTATGTTTGTTGGAGAATATGACGAAGTAGCCCTCTAGTCGGACGTTTATTCAGTCTTTGTGAAGGTAAACTGGTTCCCTTTTCCTACACCAAAAATCCTCACTCATAAATCTTTTAATATTATGCAAATAAATGTTGATAAATCGACTTACGAGTTGAACTAGACTGTCAATAGCCCTGTTGAAACGATCGCAGAGGGCTTTCATGCTCTCAAAGTCCCTCGTATCATATTCAACGAGTATGTTATTCTCCAATGGCAGTTTTAAATCCGGTAAATCTTCACACACCCATCTCATTGTCTCCACCACGTCCAATGCTCCGTCATGACGATCCTAAACAAGCACATATAAACACATCAGTAAATAACCTATCAATACTACAATGTCATCACACAGCGCATCTAAAATTCCCTCAAATTTTTCACTACCATCGCAAACACTTCAATATGAAAAAACAATAAGGAATATTTTGAGTGACGGAAAATTTTCCATTTATATAAATAAAAAATGAAGATTCCGTTAAACACATCCACTCTGAATCTACATGTATTTATCCAAGGCTCACTGACACGTGCTCACATTTATCCCCACCAAATGAGCAAAATCCATGAGTAATATTGATAATTATTTAATAAAGAACAAACAAAATTTATGACAAATTTCACTCACAGAACCCGATCCAGAGGTAAGTGGCCACTGATAAACGATGGGCTCGGCTCCCGCTGGTGAATGTAATCTCAACTCCATAACTAATTGGAAACTATTCACAAGAACTCCAAAAGTCCCGTTTTAAAATGAAAAAAATGGAAAAATCCAAAGCGCACTTTATTTCTCCCGTTGAAAATAATTCAAAGTGGGGGTGTGTGTGTGCACCTTTTTTTTCCCTTTTTGTTCTGTCTTTTAATTGATAGGTTCTTTTCTTTGAGTGATGTAACCCAGTTGGCAGGAGTTATCGACAAATAGTTGTTGGCTATTCAGCAAGTTCTATAGTGGCTCCTTTGGTTGCATCCTCTAGGATTCGACCACCGCGTAGATGAGGACGCGGGCGGACTCCCCCCGCTCCGCCGATGCTTTCACGAACATCAAGCTCCCAACAAATATTTCAATTTTTACGTGTTACACCTGACGCCTTTGACTCCTTGTTCCAAATTGTTTGGACTGCACTACTCAAATGGCACACATAAGTAACATATCAATGAACGGAGCTGAAAGTTTATTATTACTGATAATGATCGATAAACACACTCACGCACGCACCCACATACACGCACACACACGAGACACGTAAAAGTTATGATTATGATAAATAATTACGTGAAAAAAGGGGCGAAAGAGCGAGGAGAGGAGCCGACAAATAGCATTAAAATGACACGACGGAAAACACTAGTGGAATGGAGATTGAATGGAGATTACTGGGGGGGGTGCAGGGGGAATGACGACATCAAAACATGGCGTCATGGGCTGTCGTTTCCACCGTTTCCACCGTTTCTGCGGCCTCTCGTCTTCTCTTTCACACTTTCAGTGCCTATGATCCTTTACTCTTATGCGCATGCGCACATTATACCCAGCCATTGAACCTACACACATATTTTCTTCTCTTCAATGTCACTATGAGCGTGCGAGAGTAGATATGAGAGTATGAGAGTATGAGGGTATCAGAGTATCAGATACCATACCATACAATACTTTAACGAAAATGAGGCACAAGGGTATATATGCATGCGAGTTACAAATTTATACAATTCCCCGTAAGTCCCCGTAAGTTAAAGATCATCTGTTTCAAACTAAGCATAACTTTTTTAAAACTTGGCGCCAAGGAAGCTGACGTTTCACACCGATCTCTCCACATCCTACTTCAAGGTGAATGATTTTGTGCGCACTTGCACACAAAACCGCTGATAACGTTATATAATAATGTTAATAATAACGTAATATTTTTTTCGAAATTGCTGATCGGTTGTCCAAGAAGTCGAACATCAGAGTAAAATGGGTCACAATTAAAAACTGAAAGTGTTAATTTTTCGGGGTTAATGCTCCAAAGTATTAAAAGTTTATTACCTTAACTATGTCATCTGACTGATTACAATCATTACGACTAACACATGTAGGAGCCCGATTCGGAGATGCCTTTTGCATACCCAAACAGCCTCTTAAAAATTGTTTGTCATTACTTGGTAAGCATAATCCAGTTACGCTAGCAAGTATCACGCTGACAATGCTGTATATCTAAATATTCAACAATAACGTGATTAATCAAAATCTGGGGCATGACAGCCATGTGAAAGACGTCAACACGCCACGACACTGGGCACCGAAATTTGTAGCACACAGGAGTTCAACACCTGTGAAAATTGCAGCTTGCGTGCCTTCTCCTGGCGTTTTTGAGTTATCCGCGCTGCCATGCTATCTGTGGAGATCGAGATAATTATCCGTAATATCTTCAACATTACTTGCGGTTGCCCCAGTGACCAATGATAAAGTCTGGTGCTGGACAAATTTGAGGAAGTGAGCAATAGACCCGATCCCATACCGGAGGAGCGCCGAATAAGCTGCCAACTATTTACCAACATTGTCGATTTGTGAACGTAAACGGTCCAGTACCCATGCCCCGGATTAACGTAGTTCAGAATAAGGTTCTCTTGGGGCTGGATCTGGAAAACGAAAGAGGCATTGCACAGCAGCTCCAGGAGGGTGAGAATATCGTGCCAGCGGGGACATCAGTCCAGGAAGTGGGCACCGGTCGCAGTAGATTAAAAAAATTTTACTCCTTGATTATCGTCGAAGAACATAAGTTCCGCTTTCCCTTGAGACTCCAGCGTTTTGAGGGCACGAGTTACCACTTCTGTATCTAATCCGAAAAATTCTGAAAAATAAAAAAGTAGTGCATGAGCAAACAAAATAACGGAACAGTCAACTAATTCTTCTGGCGAACTAACCTTCATCCACAGTGTTATCGCCTTGAATAAGTTCAAACAACGTACAAACAGACCCAATCAATCCATTCATCTGCGCCCAGTTGTAAATTGTCTCACCCCATTCGTCCAACGTGTGCCAATAGATAAGCCAACGTTGCTTTGATTTATCTAATGGACTCGCCTTTCCAGATTTCAATAAGCTGTCTAGGATCAATTGCACAACCTCAATTGAGAGCTTCCCTAAAGGGAAATACAAAGTATACAAATACAAAGTCAGTCAACAGTCAAGAAATGTTTTCATTAAAAAAAAAAATATTACTCCTCAATGACGAATGAAGTATTCCCCCCTACTTCTTTCTAATAATGACAAGTAATCAAATCTTACGTTTAATCTCAGTATTATTGAACAGGGGAGTGGCATACATCTCTCGGATATCTAGAACTGATTGCTTCGTCGCTCTGTAATAATCCAGCACAAGACTCGTCCACGTCATGAGCTGTTTTTGCTGAGTTTCAGAATGTGGTTGAAGGCTGCAAAAAATTCTTCATTATCACAACTTTTCCCAAAATGTTAATCAAACTCTGTAAATTTTCTCCATTAATAGAAAAATTATTGAATGCTATTGTGATTAATGAAATGAATGTTTCGACAAAATTATTTATTATTCAATGATTTTTCTAAGTTAACCTAACTTACGTAAAGAAAGGAGGAAAATTGTACTGCCAAGGCCACTCTATTTCCGCCATGGTCCCTTTATGTCCTTTGATTTGTTATTATAGAAATAGAGCAATGTATGAAGTCTCGACTTGAATAAATTCACCCAATTAGACTTTTCACAATGGTAAAATGAATGTAATGTTTACTCCATTCCAAACGCTCCAAACAATATGGATATCCTCATATATAGAGGAGAGCATAATGGCTACCGCCGAGGCTCAGTTCTGGGGGTTTGAGTGACCCCAGCGTCATCGTAATACTGCACCCCAAGAGAGGGAGGGCGCCCCACGCAATGCTGAGGTGTCCATCAAGTCGACGGGGTGAATTTTATTTTCTGCTGTACAAATGCTTTTTGTTTTTCATTTGTTTAACTGAAATTTAGCCGACTGTTCACCGAGCGGAAGGGGGAAGCCACATCTTGTGGAATTTCAAATGAAAAAATTATTCAATATATTGAAGATATACCACTAATGAAATTATATTTTCAGAATGAGCGCGTTGTCCTATCGGTAACGTGCTTGCCTACTACGCCGACGGCCAGGGTTCGATCCCACCGTCATTCATTTTTTTTTCAAAATAATTCCAATTTTATCTTTTTTTAATTGGTTAATCAATCGAAATATCGTTTAAAAACTGATTATTAAAAAATCCGCAAAATATCCAGTGAAATTGAAAAATTAGCAATTTTTTAAAACGATACTTTTGTAAAATATATACTCCTAATGAAATTATATTATTATAATAGTTCGTTATCCTTGTGGTAACGTGCTCGGCTAACACGCCGACGGCCCGGGTTCGATCCCGCCGTCATTCATTTTTTTTTTTTAAATAATTCCAATTTTTTCTTTTGTAAATGGCTAATCAATCGAAATATTGGTTAAAAACTGAATAGCTCTTCGATTGTCATGTTCCCCTGATACTTTTTCAAAAATTTCGAATTTTTCACTTTCAGTGAAAATTTCAGTGAATAATTCCTCGATTGTCATGTTACCCTAATACTTTTTCAAAAACTTCGAATTTTTCACTTTCAATGAAAATTTCAGTGAATAGCTCCTCGATTGTCATGTTCTCCTGATACTTTTACAAAAATTTCGAATTTTTCA